AATTTTCTTGCTCTTTGGAAGTCTAGGACTTAGGAGACCTGGCTTCTACCCCAAGGTAGCTTGTTAACGTATTTTCCAAATGGAATTCTCAAGCAAGCTGGTGAGAGTGAAACTTTGTTTCATCTGTCTTGTAAAAGAAAATATGTATGTATAGATTTCTTTTTTTCTTTTTTAATGATTGGCACCTGAACTAACAAGTGTTGCTGATCTTTTGTTTTCTCCCCCTGCTTTTTCTCCCCAAATCCACCCAGTACATAGTTGTATATTTTAGTTGCAGGTCCTTCTAGATGTGGCATGTGGGATGCTGCCTCAGTGTGGCCTGACGAGCGGTGCCATGTCTGCATCCAGAATCTGAACCAGCAAAACCCCGGGGCCACCGAAGCGGAGTGTGCAAAACTTAACCACTTGGCCCTGGGGCACTCACCAACTGCAAGGTGTGAAACCTGAGCAGGGCACCCTGGTCCTCCTGCCCTGCCCTGCTCACACCCCCTCCCACCTCAGCCCTAGATAGCTTGGTAGATTTGTTTTTTCTGTTCAATTACTTATTACTGGTTTTATTCAATCAAATTATCATTTTAATGTCTGTTGCAATGTTTCGATAGTTTATTGAGGTATTTCTCTGCAACAATGAGTGCTTAACTTTTTATTTTTAGGCACATAAATGCAGAAAAATCTGATAGATTTTGAAAGAGGAAACTGTCTTTTGTTTCTGCTGTACTTCCCAAACTGTGCATTACTTAAGTTTTCTGATTCAGATTATGCATTTCCTATACTCCTGCCCCATATTTAACAGCCCCACTATTATCATACTAGGCAGCCATGAAAGTTTATGCTTAATTCGTTGCTGCTATTTAGGTTTATGCTTGACGATTAATTAGGAAAATTAAGATCCTGATTTTTGGTTCTTAGCTCTATATTATGCTACATTCACCTTTATCTTGAGCCATTAAAGTTTTTAAAAGGTTAGTAAGAGGAAGGTTAGAAGTTTTTGGAAGATGATAGGCTGCAAATTTTGGGGTTGGGAAATACAGTATAGAAAATGCGGGGGCCGGCCCTGTGGCTGAGTGGTTAAGTTTGCGCGCTCTGCTTCGGTGGCCCAGGGTTTGGCCGGTTCTCATCGTGGGCATGGACATGGCACCACTCATCGAGTCATGCTGAGGTGGCATCCTACATGCCACAACTGGAAGGGCCCACAACTGAAAATATGCGACTATGTACTGGAGGGCCTTTGGGGATAAAAAGGCAAAAACATAAAAAATCTTTACGCAATTTCTTTTGTTTTTTTTTAAATTCAGATTCTTAAATTTCTGCCTTGCAATATAATGTGCTTGTGTTTTGTGAAGAATATGTTTCACATGATCTTTTAGACCTGTGAATGGATGAGATAGTCCCTAGGTTGATTGAAAATGCAGATCTCATAATTTGAATTATTTTTCAGCAACTTCAACAATGTGGAAGAACAATACTTGCCACAACCAGTTTCTTGTAATTTTTTTTTTTTTACAGGTCATAAGTATAATATATAGTTAAATAATTTAGCAACACTGAAAACACTCAATACTGGTTTTCTGCAGTTGCTCTTTTGACAGTACTTTCTTGCAGTCTGGACGCTGCAGGTACAACTGCACAAAGTAGAGTGACCTCAGCTCTCATGGTGCTTGTGTTCTGGACCTTCAAGAGCAAAGAGAGGGACCACTAGAGTTGAAGTAACTCATGCGGGTAGGGAAAATGACAGCTGCCCTTGTAGCTAAAGGGACTAGAAAATGCCTGTCTCGGGTGATGACGACATCCTGTGATTTAGTCTGCTGATATAACAAAGTTGTGATGAAGTAAGTGGGTGCAATAAGTCTACTGCTGGAGCTGTGCTGTCCCTTGTGGTGGCCACTTGTGGCTGTTGAGTCTTTAGAATGGGACTAGTGAGACTGTAACTGAAGTTTTAACTTTATTGTAATTAACTTAAATTCAGTTATCAGTATGGTGTTAATCATATTAGGAACAACTTGGATATGTGAATCTACTTCTGCATCTTAAATTTAATCAAATCTACATACAAGTATTGAAGAAAATTTATCACTTGAATTAGACTTGATATGAAGAAAAGAATGTAATATATCTCAATAATTTCTTTTATGATTACATGTTATATATATTGGGTTAAATAAAATATACTACTAAGCTACTTTCATCTGTTTCTTTTTTCCCCTTTAACGTAGCTTCTAAGAAATTTTAAAGTTTCTTATGTTGTTTGCGTTATTTTTCTTCCATACACTGCTGATCTGGAATAGTAACTTTGTCAAATTTTTATCTTTTCTCTACATGATTGTCATCCCAAAGTCTCATTCTGTGGTCTGTAATTATGAAATTTGTTTGTTTTTGTCTTTTTAAATGAATAATTTGAGATTGAACTTCACAGTTGAAGTGTATATTCATCATTAGGTGTCAGTGAGAATGATTGCCTGTAGTAATTATAATTACTTGGTGTTTGTGCAGGAGTTCAAGAAAGGAGTTTGAGCATCCAGTTCTCAGGAAATAAATTGTGTACATTAAGCTTACCTTTAACTCCTTTCACCTCTGTTACTTTTCTTGTGTGTTTATTATCTACTTGATGCTCTTTCCATAAAATATTTAAGCAAATACTGTAAGTCTTGAAAAAGTTTTATTGTCATACAAGATTTCTCTCAAAATCTTTTTGCGAAGTTTTCCTGTTCATTTGTTTGTTTACTTCATTCCATCCAGGATGTTAGCTCTGAGAACATAGGGATCTTATTTATCATTTAGCGATTTATTCATGTTTCCTAGCAAGTCCTTATTAAATTTTTGTTTAGTGAATGAATGACACCGACTGTAGGAAGGACATGGTGTTTACTAATAAGAATATAAACATGAACAAAATATGGTTCCTGCCCTCTTGGAATTTGGAGTTTGATGAGGGTAAGCAAACTGTCAGACTAATTGGTAGTAATGAAGGGAATAGGAAATGCTTTGAAAACCCAGAAGCAGATATCTACTTAAACTGGGCAGACGGGGAGGACTTCACTAAGATCAGTTTTGGACAGATGTTAAAGGTGAGTAAGTACTTGCCAGTTGTAGGTTTTTTGCAGGGAGAGGGTAGGGAGGGTTGTGATGATAAGATGATGTGGACAAAAGGATGCCAATGAGCAGAGATCCTGAGCAGTTAATGAGGAGCTGTCTAGGGGAGGGAGCTAAGAAGGGAAGAAGTAAAGTTTAGATAAAAATGTGTTTGATCTAAGTTAGGGAGTTTTGATCACCTTTGAGGGACTATGAGTCAGGACAGTTTTAAGTACAAGAGTGACTGGATCAGAAATAGCCAGAGGGACCACATAGTTCATTGATCCACTCCCGACCCTGCACATGATACTTGAAAGGATCTTTAGTGTCAGGATTGTTCAGATTCTATACAGGAGTAATTCAGAAGTTGAGTGACTTTAACAGACTAGTGTCTTGGTGGGAGAGAAAGAGATGCAAAGTGATCTAGGAGTTTCTAATTTGAATGATGAGGTGATGGTGATACCAGTAACTGAGACACGGAAGGTAAGTGTGTTCACTATTTGGGGGGGATGTAGCTCCTTGATGGAGAGGAAGGTATGATCCGTTGGTTTTTTTACTGTTTTGCTTTTAAGTACCTATGGTCCTTTGCTATTTTAAAGACTGGGGCAAGTCCCTCTACCTGGTAAAGAATGTTCTCTCTCAAGGCACTGTCATTACTGAAGGGGACTGCAATAATTTCCCCACTTGTCCTGCTTTGACTTTTGCTCTTGCAGTTTATTCTCCACTAGTATCTGGTGCATCCTTCTAAAACATGAATTAGATCATGGTCCCTCTCCGTTTTCAAATGCAGTAGCTTTCCATCTGAATTAAAACCCAATTGTATTGTAGGCCGCAGGGCTTTATTTGATCTGGTCTCAGTCTATCCTTCCAACCTCATCTACCTTCCACCCCTTGTGTACTAAACATAGTAAGGGGGTTTCTCTGTCTCTCCAGGTATTTTTGTTGGTCTCTTACGAAAGAGCCTTTCCCCAATAGAGTTCGACATCAACTCTTATCATTCCTGTCACTTTGTCAGTATATAATATTTACTTGTTTATTTGCTTATTGTATCTACATTTCATTCATCTTTTATCAGTGTTTCCAGTATTGTAGCACAATGTTTTGCACAATTTTTTTTAATTACTCTGAGGAAAAAAATGAAGTAATGGCATAGATTTAAGAGTAGAGTTTTCAGTACCAATTAAAGTGTATGGATGAGAATCCCTGATTGCTTATTCATTCAATAAATAGTTATTGAAAATTGTGGTTCAGCTTGTGCTTACAACAGTGAAGAGAATAGAATTGGTTCCTGACTTCTTTGAGCTTGAAGTCTAATGGGTGCCAGGAGAAATCACGGGAAGAAATCACAAATTTCTAGACAGCACCATCGTTGTGTTGGAGGGTCAGAGTAAGAAGAGCCAGCAGAGAATGTGAGTGAATAGCCCAGTTTTTAATAGAATTTTGGAGAATATGTACCCTTAGGTATCTCTAAATAGAAAATATGTCTAAAAAGAAAGTAGTAAGAGAAAGAGGGAGGGAGGGCGAGAGAGATAGAAAATGTGAAGGGAGTAGTTTGGGATGAATTGATGGGAGTCCAGACCAGTTTCTCTGAGGCTGGAGAGTGGATGAGGTTGGTGGTATGGAACAAGACGAGTTTTTAACAATTGGAACAATAAGGGGTTCTTAAAATTTTTAAACTTAAAATCACAGTGTATGTTTTGTATATTGACTTTACCAAATACAATGATGTTTGGTGTTGCTGGAACCCCAAATATTAGGGAGACCAGAGGAACTGGAAGGCTTGTTAAAAGGCCTACCTGAGGTGTCCAAATCCTGCTCCTGTGTCTCCAGGAAGTAATGTTTTTTCTAATAGGGTGTAAACTGAAGACTCCCGGTTCTAAAAGTTTACATACTTGTTTTCCCCTTTTTTCTTACTATGGTGTACATCGAAGAGAAGATTAGAAGCAGCAGAAGTGGGACAGGTTGGCTGCCAAGAGCAACTCATCAGGAAATATTCCAAAGGGTCTCCTATTAAAATGCCGCAACTTCATTCATTGTTGATCTGATTGTCTATGTGCACTTCTGCAGACACTAAAGGTCTGATTTTGGTGATTCTTCTAGTAACTGAACTTTAAAATGACTTGAAGTATTTATGATTTCCAGAAGAAATAACTCAGTAAAACTTACGTATTATGAAGGGAACACTTAAACCTCTGAGGCTTTGATAATTGCGTATTGTACCAAAACACGTTTGAAAAACTATTTTGTACAAATATTGGGATGAAAAACAGCATGTAATACATAGTTTGAAGAAACGTTTGTCTGACTTGGTCTTTTGTTTTAATAGTTCCTATTTGAGTGGGTAATTATTTTAATACTCTAAGGGATTCTTCAAGGCTACTGATTCCCTGCCTCCCCATCATGTTTTTCACTTGCTCGCCTCCTTCTGTTCAATTGGTTTGATTTTAGGTTTTAAAAAATTATCTGTAAAATAGGCAATGTTTGCTTTTCTTGATTGTCTTTACACCAGTGATTTGCAATGTTTTAAGAAAATGGAGTAATATTTTTCTTAGAGTAGATATTACTCAGTTCCTGCATTTTGATTTTTGTCTTTCATTCGTTTAGTGTATTGACCATATTCTTGTAAGTATCTTGGGCTATATATTTTGTAGTAAAAGCAGGTAATATATGCAAGGTAGTAAGAATGGGAATGCCACCCAGTCTGGGGACCTGCAAGAAACAGTTTCCTCTTGCCATCGTTTCTCTCCTTGACTTCAGAGCTGATGAGAAGTTGGGAGAGAAATGTGTAATGCAGTATTTGGAAAGGATTTTAACAATTTTCTAGTTTATATTGTATAGTACAATTTTGTTAATAATAAATATATTACAACAGTATGTATTGTCTTCTTTTGGAAGACAAATACGTGGAATTAAGTCAAAGTTAGCCAAAGTTATGATGTGGTTTTTTTCTATATAATTTGTGAAATGTAAATATATTTTAATACATTTACTTGAACCATGTTAAATTTTCTATCTTTATACTTAATAGTGTGGAAAGACAATTGGTTTTTAAGACCATTAATTAGCTGTTTGAACTATTTTGTATATTGTTCATGAATTTTTCCTCAGCACTCAGTATCTTTGACCTTTCCTTAATTTTCTGTGCTCTTCATCATCCTGTCTTTCTTTAGCTCCCCCCCTCATCCCAGGCTTCCCTCTGGAGGCCTGCCTTATCTGCTGCAGTCTGAGTTGTTGCTGTCTACAACAGCTGCAGCAACATCCCACCCCTTAGGACTTCAGTGCTCTTCTCGATTGTGTGGGCTCTTGGCTGGATTATCTTTAAATGAATACGTGAGAATTCATTTTGACTATAATTCTTTTCCTGTTTCTCCTTTAATAGTTATTTTCTTTTGGATAGTGGGTGAGCACACACTCACGCTCTCTCTCACGCACAAAGTAGCATGGGTGCTAGTACTACAATGAGTTTTGCTCTTTTTAAAGAGTCTTCTCTCATCGTTAAAAAGTAACTCAGGTATGAAAATGCTAATTCAGTGTACGTGTTTTGTTTATCATGATACGGGTATATGCTAACACTGCATTTGGGCAATAAAATAAATGATTTTTAAAAAATATAGGGCCTATGAATGAATTGTAAGGGATTATATCATTACATTTTGGAACAGCACAGGTTAGTATACAGTAGAAGTGGTCGTAGATTATTAGTAGCTAATTCTCCAGTAGGGTATGAGTGTTGTGGAATATCACCTGCATTCAGCAGGTCTTGCTTCATTTAATATTAAGGCACCCAGTGTGGGGTAGATGAGGTACTCCTGTTGTTGAGAAACTCTAGACTCTAGTGGCAGAGGTTAGAATACAATTAGCCCAATAATTATAATACAATGCAGAAAAGACCTAAGGGAAAATAGGATGGTAATAAACATCACTAGGTGTAGCACCTTTTTATTTTATTTATTTATTTTTTTTGGTGAGGAAGATTGTCCTTGAGCTAACATCGGTTGCCAATTCTCCTCTTTTTGCTTGAGGAAGTTTAGCCCTGAACCAGCATCTGTGCCCATCTTCCTCTATTTTGTTTGTGGGACGACAGCACAGCATGGCTTGATGAGAGCGGTGTGTAGGTCTGTACCGGGAATCTGAGCCCGTGAAGCCTGGGCCACCAAAGGGGAGGGCGCACACTTAACCACTATGCTGCTGTCATGGCTCCTGGGTCACACCTTTTAATAATCATTTTGAGACTTGCATTACATTTACATGAATTGGGAGGCAGGCAGAAGAAAGGAAAAATACAAGAAAGCAAATGTGAATACAAAATAAGTCTTGGAATCTTATTAAATAAAGAGTGCGTTTTGTCATGATTAGCGTGTTGGAGCATCACAATGCAGTAACCAACCTAGTATCCCGTTACGCATTTGAAAAAGTTACCTGCTCTGTACAGGGCAGTGGCAGTGCTAGGTATACTTGGGTGACTTGACATGTTACACATGAAACCTGTTGTCAAAAATTCAATGTTATAGGGAGTTTGGAGAAGAGAAGGAAATATGAGATAAACTAATTGGGAAGGATTTGCATACGACAAGTAAGAATGTTCTTGCTTAGGTGTGGGAGGATTAGAGGACCATTCAGAGCAAAAGGAGAGGAATTGCATATCTTAATAAGTGTGTCCAAGGATTTGGGGAGGTAGAAATGCCTGAGTATCATCTTCAAGATGTTATATCTTGTCTTTGGGAGCAGGGGCTATCAGAGAGGGCCCATTATGAACAAAGACTGGGAGCAGATAAATAGGCACAAAACAAAATGAGACTGGAAAACTAATCAGAGATATTACTGTATGAGAAGGAACCATTAGGAGCTTTTTGGCAACAGAGTGATGGTAGTCAGATTTCTGTTTCCAGAAGGTTGACTAGATTGTGGGAAGGATGCATTTGTAGTAACTCAGACCTCTGGCAGGGAAACCAGTTAAGATACGGTAGTACGGTTGGAGAGGAAGAGTTGAAATCAAGACATCAGTTATGAAATGGTCAGGACTTGGTGGTTAATTGGATGGGGGGGGTGGTTATTTGCAAAAGAAGGCAAGGGTGACTGTTTTTGAACCAAATGGCGGGTAATTTTGGTGCTATCAACTTTTCAAGAACAGTTCGAGCGTGAAGGTCCAGATGGAAGGCTTCAGGCCCTTGACAGGTAGAAAGGGTGTTCAGCATAGAAAATCATGATGCTTTGGAAAAGGTCTCGGATGAAGAACTTAGATTGTCGTCACCAAAGTTAGCAACAATCAATAAATGGAAGTATGAGACACAAATAGTTAACCAGTGTGAAGTCTGTAAAGGTTAGGAGCTGAAATGCCCTCTAAACATGGGGCTATTTAGGTAGACCTTGAAGGGCCTGCTGAAGCAAGTCTCATACTGGAGTACATCCAGGCCTTTGGAGCTCCAGAGAACACCGCAGCTGTGTTCATAGTCACAGAAACAAGCATATTACAGAAATGGACATTGATTGAACATGATTCATTTTTTTCATACTTGGTCAATGGCTAGCATGAGAAAGTATGGAAACCAGAGGTCGACTAACACCTGTTCCCTTATTCCTCAAACTTAAAATTACCTAAATAGGCTCTATATAATAGCCATCATTCAAATCCTTTTTTGAGATCTAGACATAATCCTTATCACACCATTGTACTTTACAAAGGATTAATGCCTAATAAAAATCAACTAGTCTTCAGATATTATCAATGCATAAAGTAATTCAATATATTTTTGAACTTTTTGAATAACAAGCATCTGGTGCACAGATGTGGAAATACAAAATGGTATGTAGAGAAAGTAAACTACTCCATGCTATCTACCAGTCACGCAGATTCTCTGTCCAAGGGCAACCATTGTTAGTAATTTCTTGTGTATCCTTCCAGAAGTTTCTGTACATTCACAGGCATATTTGTTTACATTCTTAATTTATATGCTAGCACACTGTACACACTTTTACCATTTGCTAATTTCCTTACAATACTCTATTTTGGAGATTGTTCCCGGTAAATTGTGTGTGTGTATATATATACTCTAGGGTATGTCTTTGGACATGTTATGGAGCATGTGTGTGAATATCTCTATAGGATAAAATTTCTACCAGTTGAATTGCGTGGTCACTGGGTATGTATATTTTTAAAGATTTTTACTTGCTGCCTGTCCTAATTATGGACAATGAAAATTTAACTTTATTCCCTGCAGTCCCCAACCAAATAAAGTCAATAAAGATGAGATGTTGAGGGGCCAGCCCCGTAGCACAGCGGTTAAGTTGACACGTTCTGCTTCCGTGGCCCAGGGTTCACCGGTTTGGATCCCGGGTGCGGACATGGCACCGCTTGTCAAGCCATGCTGTGGTAGGCATCCCACATAAAAAGTAGAGGAAGATGAGCACGGATGTTAGCTCAGGACCAGTCTTCCTCAGCAAAAAGAGGATGATTGGCAGCAGTTAGCTCAGGGCTAATCTTTCTCAAACAAAAAAGATCAGATGTTGATAAAAACTGATGAGAATGTTGCAGGTAATAGTCAAAGTTTAGGAATAGAAATCTTATCTTTGATTTTGGGAGAGCTTTGAAGTCTAAAGTTGGCTAATGATAATTCCAGGAATTAAAGTCTTGTGCTTTAAATATTAGATTACAGTAAATAGATCCTGATTTCAAGAAATAAATTGTATTAATGTCTTAGAGTTATCAATATGTTACAGTATTTAAATGACTTGAACATTAACAATTTGCTTTATGGGAGATGTTACATTGAGTATAAAAATGGCTTAGTTTTTCCTTCATAAGAAAGAGAAACAGGGCATAAAATTCAAACTTGGAAGTCTTCTATTTAAAAAATTCTGCAGGGGCCAGCCTGGTGGCGCAGTGATTAAGTTTGTGTGTTCCACTTTGGTGGCCTGGAGTTTGCTGGTTTTCATCCTGGGTGTGGACCACTCTGGCAGGTGTCCCACATATAAAATAGAGGAAGATGGGCATGGATGTTAGCTCAGGGCCAATCTTCCTCAGCAAAAACTAGGAGGATTGGCAGATGTTAGCATAGGGCTAATCTTCCTCAAAAAGAAAAGAAAAATTCTACGGTTCCTTATTGCTGAGATTGGGCATTATTAAACATTGTTGTGCCCAGATAGCTAACTTGAATTTCATGTCTTAAATATCAAGAATAGGAAGAACCATAAAGTCTTTCTTCTAGAAGAATTCCTGTCTTTGGTGTTCAAATTATAATTTCACTTTGAATTTCAAATCTTGCATTATTTGGAAATACTGGAGGGGGAAATATACTTCCTTTACAAACCAAAAAGGATGGAGGCTATGAGCTGTATAGATTACCTTTATTTAGAATTAATAAAATATTAAAAACACTTGTGTATATTCCCAAAGGATTATGGTTTGTTGTTCAGTGAATTATTTAAATTTGATGACATCATGGCAAAATGATTTTTTTTTTGAGGAAGAGTAGCCCTGAGCTAACTTTCACCACCAATCCTCTTTTTGCTGAGGAAGACTGGCCCTGAGCTAACATCGTGTTCATCTTCCTCTGTGTCAGATGCCTGCCACAGCATGGCTTGATGAGTGATGTGTAGGTCCGCGCCCAGGATCTCAACTGGTGAATCCCTGGCTGCCGAAGTGGAGTGTGCGAACTTGACTGCTATGCTACCAGGCTGGCCCCACAAGATGATTTTTTTAATTAAAAAATTTATGTCTCTTAACATAGTAACTTTAATATACATTGTCTACCCAAGGAATTGGGTGACTGCAGTTTGCTGTTTGAAAAAATGGACCTCTCCTTGGTCAGGGGTCATTTATTCCGTGTTATACTTCAGTATTCATCGTAGTTGTGAAGTATTAATCTCTCCAAAGTGTGACCAGAGAATAAACATTGTTTTGTTTCATGAGCTATTGTAGTTATTAGACTTATTAAGAAATATTTATTGAGCACATACTGTGGCAGTTCTAGGGACTGTCCAGGCACTGGGGATACAGCCAGGAGCATATATGACTGGGCTGCAGACAGACATGTCTGTCTTAGCGAGGATGGTCAGGGGAGGCTTCTCTGAGGAGACGTTTTGGGTGATACCTGAACGATCAAAAGGAGGGGACTGGCAAAATTGGAGGTGTCGAAGGTGACCTCAGCCCAAGCTGAGGCGGTTATCATTTAAAGGAAGCGAGAGGAAAGTGTCGTGGCTGGAATTGAGGGAATGAGGCAAGGGTGTGTATCAACCCCTGTTTTCATTTTTTCTAATTTACCCCTCTGCCAATGAAATTTTAACACCACAGATAGCTGTTTTGTACTCAGTCTAGCTCTTATATGAGCTTTATATGTAAAAAGAGCTAAGCTTTTTGCCCTCTGCTATTTCCATCTCCAGCTGATTTTTTTCCCCCTTGCGAGGAGTACTGCCTCGTTGAGAGTGCAAGATGCAGAACTGCGTATGCCATGGTAGATAGTTGAGACTGTTTTCTCGATGAAATGTGACATGGTTGGAAAGGCTTGGGCAGCCTGGTAGTGATGTGATCTAGTTTATGTTTTAAAAAAGAATTTTAGGTACTCATGGAGCCTTGACTGAAGGAGAGCCAGAATAAAAGCAGGCCACCAATTAGACCAATAAAGAGAGGTGAGAAGTAATGGTGGCTTGGTCTGCAATGATTTTTGATAGCATAGATAGGTACGGAACAGGAGAGGGAGAGAAAGAAGTGAGAGAGAATAAACAGATAAACCATTAATGGTCATAAATAAAGTATGTTGGTGTATAACATTGATGAAAGCTCGGGGGGAAAAATGCCCTCAAACACAAAATGAGGTTGCCTATGAAACCCACTGAATTGCAGGAAGGAAATAGCTCTTGGGAAGTTAGAAACTCGATTCTGATTTTTAACATTGATATAATTTTAAGTTTCCCACTTTTCAGTCATATGGGGATAAGATAATCAAACACATCGAAAAAACAATTTGGAATGGTCAAAACTCCTGACTTATTTCCACTTTCTGTTTTGTCTGAGTAGTGACATGCCCCCATAGTTTGTGCCTTCCATTCCAGACTTTTTATTGGGGAATCTGTTTAAAAGCCTGCCTACTCTTTCTTGTAGTACTATAGTAATAGTTGATTACACGTTAGTGTGTGAACATTTTCAGTAAAATTCTAATTGTTCCTGTTAGAATTGAATGATTCTTATCTAATACACAATTTTTGGACCCTCTGAGATATGCTATTGTGAATTACCTAAGGGACAGGGACTCTGGTACAGGTGCTTACTACATTTTTGTTGAATCAGTGAACAGGTAGTTTTTCTAAAGTCACACTGAAGTTACTAGAATCAAAGTGAGATTTCTTACAGTTACTGTATGGGATACCATACAGTTTTGTCTCAAAGTTGTGTGTAGTCGATGGAAAATTACTGGGAATGTTTTATAAGCCCTGCATGGTGACTGAAAATGGCAGATTACATTTATGATCTAAAAAAGAAACTGCATGTAGTCCTTCTAAGGTTCACACACCGTTTAGGAGATCCTGTTACGCCTTGCCAAGGGGCTACGTGAAGTCCTCTTGGGCTCCAATGAGGCACAGCACAGGCATCCAGAACTTTTGCTGTTGGGAGTATGTTGTATTTACAAATGTTGCAGAGGCACAAAAAGTTTGACAAGTTAGATTTTTGACTGTTTTATGGATTTTTGAATGTCTTTTTGTTTTCTATTAATCTGGTTTGTACAGACTGAATTTCTCAAACCCAGTGGTAATAAACAGGAAATTTTGTGCATTTTTAAAATGTGACATTCTTTGCTAACCGCCCTTTTGATTTTTAGACTTCCATTCCCTGTTTCTAAGGGAAATTGGCAACTTGTGTTTACGACAAAGCATTAAGGGGCCAGCCCCATGGCCGAGTGGTTAAGTCCACGCGCTCCCCTTCGGCGCCCCAGGATTTCACTGGTTTGAATCCTGGGTGTGGACATGGCACTGCTCATCAGCCCATGCTGAGACGGCATCCCGCATGCCACAACTAGAAGGACCCACAGCTAAAAATACACAACTATCTACCAGGGGGCTTTGGGGAGAAAAAGGAAAAATAAAATCTTTAAAAAAAAAAAAAAGACAAAGCATTAAAACATTTAACTGCCTTAATGTATTTTCATGTAGATACCGTTTTTGGAATACACTTCTAATTCAGACATAGTGTACCCCAGTGAGGAGGACTTGCTGTAGATGGAGCACTGGGTAAAAGAGGATCCTGACTGATGCTGTTCATAACACTGCAGATTACACTTGTTTGATGTTTGAGTGATTTCTTCCCAGTACAGCATTGTGATAGTATTTACTGCACATGAATATATAATGGATTCTGCAAGACATGTCTTTCCTAGTAAGTTGATTTACATGGTATTTTCAAAGTAAGTAACAGTAGATGTTATTTTTAAGTGTTTTTAAGTATATGGTGAAAAATAAACTGTTGAATGTCATTTGGTAATTTGTTTCCAGTGCCTTTTCATTATATGTGAAAATGGTTGATACATTAAATAACTGGAATTCTTTGATGTGGCAATAATTTACTTGAGATATTGAACTTTTAAAGAAAATAATGGAGGCTCTACAGGTAAGTTTCTAGTAGTCATGTTATCTTGAACTAAAAATGCACTTTATTGTTACTCTAGGTGAAGTTGTTATTGAAAACTTAACCCTGATCGTGTAATGATCAAGGATAGGTTTTGTTTGACTTTTGAGGGGGAGGGACACTTAAGAAATTGTAGGTAATCACAAGAAACTAATGCCGGCCTTTAAAAAAAAAAAGAATGTTGAAATGCCTTTGTGGGAACCTGGGGACAGAGTTAAGATTGGAAAGTGGCGTCTCACTCCCAAGCCGTCTCTTACCTCATCGTGATTGCCTTGCACATATAGCAAATGCATATAGGTCTGGCCCTTGAAACTGAGTCAATTTCAACTTTTCTGAGAAGTCATTAATTATGTTGGGTAAAATCACTTTGTACTTCGTTAAATTTCATGAGTCTTTGCTGAATTTTACATTTCTTTTAATAACTACGGTAATTATGACCTTTGGAGAAAAAGATGGCTTATATATCAGTAAATTATTTTCCTGAAAAATCTAGTTGTCCTCAATAAAACTGAAAAAAAAGTGCCTTGTGGCTAAAAAGAAAAGTTGCATTTTTTCAATATTGTCTAGATTTCAGTGTTATTTAATATTTATAAATGATAAATGATTCTTACCTGAACATGACCTTATTTTACATACTTATTTTTGAGTTGCTGCATTAATTTTGTTTTCTGATTCTTTAATTTAAAAACACTTTAAATCCTGCTTTTTAAAATTTTGGACTAGCCTGTCACTTACTGAAAATTTGTGAGTTTTGTTTGGTTTGACATCCTCAGTTTTCATAAACTTCAGATCTTATAAGCTGCCTTCCAGTCAATCTGTCCTACATCAGAGGCAACCACTGTTGTATTTTGATCATCATAGATTAGTTTTGCCTATTTTTGAACTTCATGTGAATGGAATCTTACAGTGTGTACTTTTTTCCTCTGGCTTCTTTCCCTTCTCACGTAGTGTTTTTGAGATTCCTCTGTGTTGTTATTGCTATAGTTGCTATCAACTATATCAGTGGTTGGTTCTGTATGGCTGCATAGTATGCTATTGAACAAGTATGCCACGTTTTGTTTGTCCAGCCTCCTATTGATCTACTCTTGGAGTAGTTTCAGCTTTGGGGCTATTATGAATAAAACCGCTGTGAACATTCTTGTGGAAGTTATTTACACATTTCCTTTGGGAAAATATTTAGGAGTTGAATTGCTGAGTAGAGGGTATATGTATTTCTCTTAGAAACTGCCGAACACTTTGCCACAGTGTCCTTGATACTCCCATGAGCAGTGTATATGATTACTGTTGGTCTGCATCCTTGTCATCACTCGCTATTGTCAGTCCTGTTAGTTTTAGCCATTATAGTGAGTGTGTATAGGTATATCATTGTGGTTTAATTTACATTTCCCTAGTAACTTCCAATGTTGAGCGCCTTTTTTTTTTTTTTTGGAAAGATTGGCTCCTGAGCTGACAATTGTTGCCAATCTTCCTTTTTTTTTACTCCCCCCCCGCCCCCCCCCGCCAAACTCCCCCAGTACATAGTTGGATATTTTTTTTTAGTCTTTCTAGTTGTGGCATGTGGGATGCCACCTCAACGTGGCCTGATGAGCGGTGCCATGTCCACCCCCAGGATCCAAACTGGCGAAACCCTGGGCCGCTGACGTGGAGCACACCAACTTAACCACTCCACCACGGGGCCAGCCCCCGAGCATCTTTTCATATACTTTTGGACATTCAGATTTGTGTCTGTGTGTGAAGTACTTTTGCCTTTCCCTTACTCACCACACTCCATTGCTATTTATAACTAGGTTGTGTGGTTTCGTTGCTATCTGATGTAAAACTCATTGATCCATCCGTAAACTATGATGTAAAAAAAGCATGAATAGCTTTATTAGAATTCTGAAAAGCCAGATGATGATGGGCATCCAGAATTGATTGTTTATATTATGGAGTTTTGCTTTTTGCAAAATATTTCTCCTACGAGATGCAAGTTATTTACCATAATTGAAGTTTGTCATGAAAGTAAAAGGTCAAATTCAGTTGTGAACACTTCTGTATAATGTTTCTCTGATGGTAACGTGTGATAACATGGAAATTCCCTCTCCTCCACCCCCCATTCCTGCAAACTGAAGAACGTGGTTCTAAGAAGGAGAATTCCTGCTGTTGAGCATGCTAATGAATGTGATTTCTTTATGTTCAGTACCACAAGAGGCTGCTTAAGAGGAAATCATGACCTTTTAGTTTGGTTTCTGGCAAGATGTTTTTCAACATGAGCCATTATTAAAATCCTATTTCTCATATGCTGTAATTTGAACAACTTTGTAGAGTGCTGTTTGTCCTCCATGCTTGTTGGATTACACGCTATTCATATTTTATACACTCCTTTCTTAGAATGTGCTTTTAATTTTTTATGTATAATTTATATATATAGATTTTTTTAATATTTTTAAATTTTTTAAATATATAATTTTTAAATTTATAATTTATATATTACATAATACAAACTATAGGTAATATATGAATGCTAGTAGCCTCGTGTACTCGGTGGAAAAGGATGTCTTCTCACTCAAAGGTGGGAGAACGGGGAATGTTAGTACATTGGTATAGTTGACTGTTAAGAATGGGCCTTCTGTATCTTTAATGTTTTATTCTTTAAGAAAAGTCATCAGGAAAGTATATGTGGAGTGGTATTGGCTATTTACATTTCCGATTATATGAAAAATTTTAATGTGTGGTTAGAAGAGCCGTCTTTCACTCTTAATTTCAAATGTTTTGGCATGGGAGGGTAAAATCAAACATTAACTTACACACAGTTCTTACCCACTTTCATCCTAAAACTAATTAAAAACATGCCACTTTTGTCCAAGGTGGTGTCATATTGTCTTGTTGTAGTTATAAGGGAGACCTTTTGTTTTAACTCAATTATTGGTTGATTTTTTTTCATGTTTGATAGTACCCCTTTGATGGAGACAGCTATGCTTCAGGACCAGAAAGTACTGAAGTCCTTCTGTTTTTGTGTATCCATGTACCAGGACTTCACAGAGTTTGAAATCCAGATTATGACTGTCATTGAACAGAGGTTGCTGTGCAGTAGCTCATCAGAATTGTTTGATAATGTTGATTATTTCTTGTGTCCAATAAACCTAGTCACTTATTTTAAACAGAACTTTAGTGGTGGTTTTTGAATATTGACTTCAGGTATTAAGATGAGCCACCCTTTAGAACTCGGCTAAATTCTGCAGAGATAACCTTTCTAGGTTTCAGTTTGGTTAATGCTTTGTAAATTGCAGGTTCACATTCTTGAAAGGTTGAGTAGACTTGTTTAAAAATTTTAGCAGTCCTAGTATTATTGTGTTGTTAAAAATTAGGTAACCAGTTGTCCAGTTTGGTTTATGGTTCCTTTTTTTTGTCAGCCTTAACTTTACCAAAGGCAATATATATAGAAGTAACAAATTTGTAAAACCAAGTTAAGAATGCTGATAACTTTGGGAGCAGATACCTAACAAGTATCACATGCAGACAGAATGCAGGTTACAGGTGGGAATATATAAAATAGAATCTTTTGTTAATTTATGGTATGACTTATTTGAAAAAATATTTCAGGTTTTATAACAGGGACCATGGGTCCTGTTGGATCATTGAGGTGTATTAGAGGAATCTATGAATTCCCTTAAATTACATGCAGAATTTTATATACATGTTTTTGCATTCAAAGTTTTGGAGGGGAGGTTCATACTTCAATTTTCAAGTGAATTTTTGACTCAAATGGGTTTTGAAAGCAATACTAATGTAGGGTATTTATTTCCAGTATTTTGGGGTCATGTGTACCCCTAAGAGCTTAAAAAATTGAGCACAAATCTGTGTATTTTAAAATTATAATTGTGTACTACTGTACTAATATTTCAGGTACTCTATAAAACACACATTTTATAAGGATGACAGCAATAAGCATAAACCTTTACCCCAATGAAAAATCTGGGGTGTGCATGCACTCTCTTTGGAGAATATTGGCCCAAGGTATTAGTAAGGTAGGTAAAAGCCTTTTCTGCTTTGGCACAGCAGACATTTGTGCACTCTGCCTGGGTACAAAGAGAATAACATTTTGTAGATAACAGTAGGAATCAGGATCCTATGTAGGGTTTTGGATTCCAAGGTTTTGAGCTGTGGTGTGCTGAGGGACCAACAGCCCAGACAGGAGGGTCTACTTATGGCAATAAAAAAGGATTTAGCAAAATAGACTTTAATATTTTAAGATCATTAGTAGACTTGACGATTTAGTGTTTAGGATTTAATAGTGTTTAATGCCAAAACATAAAATTGAGCTGAATTTTAAGTTGATCTGATTTGAGGAAATGAATTAAAAGGAAAATCCTTACTGAATGGAAGTAATCAAACGAGGTAAAGACTTTAAATGGCACCTTACTGGAAACTGTACTGTTAGGAACTTTAAGAAATGAGTTAGCACTTTTTTTTGTTGATTATTGTAGCTGGTTTTAAAAAGGCTAAATCTGATTTTATTGTATTTCTAGGAGGATAAAAGAAAACATGGATGAAGCTCCCTGAAATTTGGCTTCCAGTTTAGAGACTAGCACGTGCTGGAGTCCTGTTTCCTTTCAGGTCAGTCAGCGTCTGTCATACAGCTGGTTCCTTGCTGCTTCGTTTCCTCCGTCATTCTTCCCGAAGCTGACGTGATTGACTTAACACACGTCTGTAAGTGTCCCTGTGTTTTGAGTTAGTGGAGCATCAGTGAGTGGCTTCCGCGGCAGTTAAAGCCTCTGCTTGGGGCCCAGTGGCACTGCCCTTCCTCTGAGCGGGGCTGGAGGCTAGTTTGCTTACTCCCACTTGCCCTCATCTTTCCTCACTGGTAATAATATGTATCCTGGTTGATTTGTCTTCAGGTAAAACTGGACTGAGCAGAAATGACATAGTAAACAGGTCTTATTTACTAGGGAAAAAAAAATTTCCTCTTGGTTTTTAGTGATCCCATGCCTAAAATTTTAGTCTCATGTTCTTTAGAAAGTGTATAATCTTAAAAATGGTTTAATATAAAATCAGAGCCACGCTAGGAGTACTAGCTCGATTGCTCCCTTCCTGTTTTCCACCGTATTGTAGAGGGTAATAATTTTTCTATTATTTTGTCAGGTTAAACATAAAATTTCATAGAAACTTTTACATTATGTGATCTTTAGGAGAGAATTATCATCATCCTAATAGATTCAGAAAGTATTATTTGACATCTGTCTTCCCTAACCACCTGACCTGTTGATGATAAACATTCTGTTCTGGCTGCTGCCAGTGTGGTCCGGGGGCCAGATGCAGCAGCATTGCCTGAGAGCTCCTGGCAGAGCAGAATGTCAGGACACAGAGCTGCCCAAGTGAATCAGACTGCCCACTGGAGCAGGATCGCCAGGGGGCTTGGGTGCACGGTGTGTGAGAAGCGCTGATGGGATACCGTACTGTTGAGAAGTTTTACTTTTTTAAAGTATCTGACACCTCACGCAGCACAAAAATGTGACAGTTCTGTTTCGCATCCTATTATCCAGCTCTAGAAAACGAACATTGGGTAGCAGTTCTCCAGGCAGCTCAGACCAGCATCGTTATCACTTGGGAACCTTTTAAGAATGCACAGTCTCAGGTCCCCTCTTCGTCTACTTAATAGAAACTCTGCGAGTGGAATCCAGCAGTATGTCTCGTTATTTACAGTCCTCCAGGTAATTCTGCTTTCTACTAGAGAACCTCTGACCTAGGGAATTACTAATTAAAACATCAGAATTGCCGTTTGAAATATGTTTACAGAGAATTACTTTATTGCCGACATTGTGTTGGTATTAAATTTCCAGATTGCTTTATAAGTACATCCCTCACTTAAATAAAATTTGAAGAAATCTCAGAATCTACACGTCAGGGGAAAAAATCTGATCTACACAGCCTAACTGTGCCACAGATCAAGTCTGGAATTATGTGGTCATCAAAGAGAGATCTTATCTTGTCAAGTGTATTTCTCATTCAATCTTTAGGATTTTAAAAAAAATTGAGGTCGTAATAGTTTACAACATTGTGAAATTTCAGTTGTATATTATTTGTCCATCACATGTGGTCCCCTTCACTCCAGGTCCTCCCCTACTCCCCCTTTCCTTGGTAACCACTGAAGTGTTCTTTGTCCGTGTTTGCTTATCGTCGACACAAGTGAAATCATGTGGTGTTTGTCTTTCTGTCTGGCTTATTTCGCTCAACATCATACCCTCAGGGTCCATCCATGATATTGCAAATGGGATGAATTTGTCTTTTTTATGGCTGAGTAGTATTCCATTGTGTATATATATCTGTATATATATATACACATACACCACATCTTCTTTATCCAGTTGTCAGTTGATGGGCACTTGGATTGCTTCCATGTCTTGGTTATTGTGAATAGTGCTGCAATGAACATAGCAGTGCATAAGTCTCTATTGTTGATTTGAAGTTCTTTGGATAAATACTCAGTAGTATGGTGTTTCTATTTTTAGTTTTTTGAGGAATCTCCATACTGTTGTGTATGTTGGGTCAGCTTTTAGCTTAGGTGGTTACTTTGCAGTCTTGGAAATTCCTCGGGATCTTTAGGATTTTGAAGTTAATTTTGGTTAAAATGAGTACTGTTTATTTAAAATAACTGCTTTTCATTACAGATTTTATTTTCTAGTCAGTGAAAAGAAACTGGTTCATTTCAGGAAGACATTAATTTTACAAAAGATTAATAAAATGCCAAATATGCGTTTAATACTAGTAGAAGGAAGTGACATGATGGTTTCTTACTTCAAAAGTAAGCATTCAGTGGTTATCCTTTGAAACAGTGGGGGTCTCACACTTTCAAGGCACAACAGAATCCCCTGGAGGGCTTCTTAGAACAGACTGCTAGGCTCCAGCAGGTTTGTGATTTAGAAGCCCTGAGAATTTCCATTTTAACATAAAGGTGCTGCTGCTCTGGTTTGGGGACATTTTCAGAACCACTGCTTTTTTAGTATTAATACTTTTAACTATTCAGTTACTTGATTAATCTCCACAGCAGCTCACAGCAAAATACCAGTTACAGAAGCAACTGGATTATTGGAAATTTTATGGGTCAAATATACTAATTCAGTTCTTGAGTATTTTTTAGGTCTGCTGCTCAGTGACTCTAGCCCAGCAAATTTTTTTCTTTATAACTGAAACCTCTTTGTTCTTCCTTTAGGAAATATGCTATGGATGTTAATTCCTGTTTACTAACAAAGAATTTGTCTTTTTTTCAGGTTATTTTGTGAGAGAAATGCTTTAATGACACAGGAAAAACAAGCCAGAAAACAAATCTTACTTCGTTTGTGAATTTATTGCTCCATAGGAACAATTTATGGATGTACTAGCAATCATAACACTTGACATTTGAAAAAAGATACTTCATGAACAAATTTTCTGTGGTTAAAATATCTGGAATAGTGCAAACTTCCCATTTCCATTCAAGTCTTTTTTTTAAAAAAGATGTCTGTCTCCTCACTTGGTGTGGTCTTCCTGGTTAATGTTGGGAGGTATTACGGTGGTAGCCAACAACCCGCCCCCAGCCCCTTTAACTCCCCATAAATGGGAACCACTAGAAGAATTTTTCCCACCTCATTCAGCCTCCAATTTTGGGTCAGTCACCAGTATCAGGAACTACTCATAAGAAATTTGGCACTGTTGTGAGAAAAGACATGTTTTACTAAAGTATGTATCTTGACCCAAGGAAGGCAAATAATGGGGGATACAGGGAAGGCAGAGATAATGTGTTGTAGAGAAATGGAAAATCACTTTCTTCCAAATACTAGATTTAGATTCCAACTGGGGTTCCTCTGGGAGCTCAGGATGATGGACAATGACTATTTCTCTGATTCTGTTTTAATTTGGTCCTGACTGAATTGTGAACTCTACTTGTCATTACAATTTTCCAGCTTGCTTACTAGTAAGACTTTCCTTTACTTCAGGCCTAGAAATCCCAGATTTGGTCTAAAAGGAGCATTATCTGCAGTCAGCCCAGGATGGAGGAAAGAAGTGTGGATTCCATCAGTGGTCCTCTGAACTTCCCTAGCAAAGATTTGGGACCAGTAAAGTTTTAAAAATTTAAAATAATTCTAGGGGTTTATATAGTATTATGCTATGAAACATTAATTGTATGAACTATTAAACTTTTTAAAATGATTTCATAAAGCACTTCTGATATTCTGGTGTATGTGACCTCTTTTTCCCTGGTCTTTGGTAATCATACTCCTTGCACTTTTCGATTTCTCCATTTTTTTTTTTTTTTTTAAAGATTTTATATTTTCCTTTTTCTCCCCAACGCCCCCCGGTTCATAGTTGTGTATTCTTCGTTGTGGGTTCTTCTAGTTGTGGCATGTGGGACGCTGCCTCAGCGTGGTCTGATGAGCAGTGCCATGTCGGCGCCCAGGATTCGAACTAACGAAACACTGGGCCGCCTGCAGCGGAGCGCGCGAACTTAACCACTCGGCCACGGGGCCAGCCCCTCGATTTCTCCATTTTTATTCAAAGACAAAACAGACTTTCATAGTAAATGGTTTATCAGGCCCTTCACTGTTAACATTGTGGGTTGCTAAACCATGTTAGCCCTAGTAAATTCTCATTAAAGTTTGAAAGCTACTAGTATAACGCTGAGTAGAATTCTAAAAGCACTACCTCAGCTTCAAATTGCAACTTGCTGACATTTGACTCAATAAATTCTACAAATTTAAGAACTAAGATGGGCATGACTTGGAAGATAGTGTATGAAATTGAATAGTTTCATATTCCTGGACTAAAACCCAAACTCCCCATCTAACTCTAGTTGTTTAACATTTATTGAGTGGCATTGGGTACTAGGCACTTCTCTTTGGTATAGATGTTGCACATAAAAGAACGTGTAATGAATGTGCTTTCCACTGTAGCCGTACTCAAGAGTAGACCAGATCTGAACGGCATAGCTAGCAATTTGAGTAACACTGTCCGTATCTCAGTGCACGCCAGAAAGGAGTAAGGGTTGAGAAGTCATGCATTTTTTTAATGATAAAACTGAAGCACAGAGATGTGTACTAATTGGTTTTCAATGAGTCTGGCCAAAGAGTGATGTATCCCATTTATGATTATTTCTGTGTAGTCATGAGATCGCGCATGGCTTAGATAATAAAGCTGTTATAGATTCTGTAACTATGAAGGAGGTTGCTTTGGTTTCGACCTGTAATACTAAGCATATCTGTTAACCTTTTGGTAAGGTGCTGCTTGAGAACTGCTTTGTTTTCCAGAGAAATCACTGCTTACACTTTGTACATATTTTATTTAAATATCAAAGCAGCCACATCGCCTGCAGCATTAGCTGCCTCATCAGAGAGCCAGCAAGAAAGCTCTCTCACCTGGGACTCTTAACAGATTCCTCTTCATCTTTAAGGAACCAGATCTTTGAGCATTTACCCACTCACGGACAAGTGTGCTTTTCATCTAACTATAGAGAAGATATAGTTTAGAGCAGAACAACTGTTCAAATGTGTGGCTCTGTTATAGTTGTAGTAGACACAATTGTTTACAGACTTTAGTAGTGTATCAGGTACGAAACTGGTGGAAGCAAACACAACTCAAAGGTAGTGTTACCCCAAATTATCTACAACTTTCTGTTCTCTCCCTGACCCTGGGTCAGTCCCCCGTAAGCAACAGCTTCACCTGTGAAAAGATTTCATCCTTGCTGACCTTTCATAGCTTTCACGTTCTCAGCCTAAATAAATCCCTAAAGGAACTGTCTTCAGATTTCCTACTTGGTGTCTCTCCTAGAGAGCCTTGCCTCCTGGGTCCAGAGTGTTCTCATAAAGCTGTTATTGCCTTAGGCACAATTTTGAGATAAATGATCTCTCAACCAGTTTCTCTTAGTATCATGGTCCCTCAATGTTCCTGATGTGTGCACTTTGCTAGCAAACATCTTTTTTTTAGAAAGCTATGAAATCAGATACAGTACTAGTACACGAGTCAATATAGTTGAAAAAGTCCAATCTCAGGTGTCATTTAGCTAAAAAACTACACACTGAGTATCCATCTTGTTTTGAAGCCCTGAGACTTGAGATGCAAAGAAAACAGACTAACATTGTGGTGTTTTGAGAAAACTGAGAAAAGGCCGTTTTAGTATGTAAAGTAAAAATGGCTCTCTGAAACAGCTATACAGATTGGGGGATCTGTGACACTGAGAATTTTTCATTAAAACTGTAACAACAATTCTAAAACTAATCAGGAACTAAACACTTCTACGTATTTCCATAATGCAGAATGAGCTTATTAGTTTGCCAAATATTTCTTAAAAGAATGTGAGAGTGAGACCTGTGGGAAGTCTACAGAAGCAATGCCTCTTCCCATGAGGCAGTGTGGCGAGGCCCAGGCAGCCGTCCCAGGGTGCAGAACTGGGGCGCAGGTTCCAGCTTTTCAAAATTACTTGTTGGATTCCCAGAACAAGGGTAAAAGATCACATCCACTAGCTCCCTTTTATGCCTCATAATCTTCTGGTTTACATTTTTTGCTGTATCTTAGACTTATCATTTTGTTATATTTTCAAAGAATAGAGGATAACTGCAAACATACAAAGTTGTCCCCTCCAACTTGGGATCTGTGTCAGCTGCACGTCAGATCAGATCGCCCTCTAACCTGCCGGCCATGGTAGATAGTCAGACTGCAAGGGTGACAAATTCACACTTTATTTAGTGCTTAGGTAACTTGAATGTAACATACATATTATTCTTTTTTTAACACAGAAATTCACCAGGGCTCATAGAAAATTTCAAGTTAAAAAAAAGTCTTTTAATTTTCTTAAATAATCCTCATATGTACCGTTCCACATTGTGGAAAAAACTGGAATATGCAGCTTGGATGCAACATGAGTATTGCAGCACACTGGCGCAGATATCGATGTGTATATTTTATAGTATACCAGAATCACTGCCCATCTTAGAAGACTCGAAGGTTTACAGATGGGACTAAACCTGGACACGTTATAGCTGCGCCAGGATCCCACACCGTGAGTCACTGCAGCTGCACTCTGTACGCACCTATGAGCAACTTCACCTGTTGAGAGAGAACGCATCTACATTAGGACAGCCGCACACACGGCCAAGACTTGTTTCTCTTGGCAGTATTTCCAGTTGGTTATCAATTGAGATTAGATTTTCACTATTTTAGTTAAATATTTTAGTTAAAATCCAAGTGCTTATAATTTGATTTTTAGGTTATTACGTTAAATAATCGTACTATTACATAGGCTACTCTAGTCCAGCTTCGTTTTACAAAGAGAGGTTAGTGACCAGCCAGCCTAGAGACATACATATGGCAATTAAAATACCAAAGCCTAGAACACAACTCAGACTGCTAGAAACCAGGTACTATATAAATACTGCATTCTTCCCATTAATACCTATCTTAACACGTTATTTACTTCCCATACATTTTAGATTCACACAGACACACCTAGCAGTGCTACCCTAGGGAGCACCTGTCTCTAGGACAGGCATACCAGGAACATCACAATATCCTGGACATTTTTTTGTAATGATGGGAAAGTAATGTGGAGTAACAATTTGAGCAGTAACACTAAATACGAGGAAAAGATTTTCACCTTAGCAGAGGGTACTTCCGTCAGCCTTATGAAGAGTTTATTGAGGCCTGCAACAGGGCTGAACGAGTAAACAAAATGACTGTCCTAGGGAAAGAGACCAAAAAGAGGTCAGTACTTCTTTAGACAAACTTCTGCATCTAGAAGCAGCCAGACTGTCTCAGTCTAAGAGTATAACCTGATCTTAAAGAGACTCCACAGATGGAGAAGTTTTGTATTTGTTTATATATTAGGCAGTAGGCTGTGATTTCTTTACTTTTCCCTTGATTTAGGAAAAAGATACAAATGACGGAAAAGCTTATAAGGTTTATCTGGAAAAAACAACCAGATAAATCATTAGGATTAGAATATATCCAGCCATATATGGCATGAGCGTTGAAAGTCTTCATAAGCTTTTAATTTTGCTTAATTCAGCCTAAGGAAAGAATTCTGGCAAAGGAATCATGCACAAAGATACTTCAAGAGCATTTTTTATGTTAAAAAAATTTATACAGCCACTAATAGATCAGTTATTTTATAAATATCTATTTTAAACTGTTCAAAGTGAATAAGAAGCAAAATTATAATGATTACCTAAAGTTACAAATTAAAACTAAGCATAAACACAACTAACGTCATATAGTGGTTGTAACTGGGTATTCAAAGTATGAACAGGATACTTTTCGAATGCCCTAAATCTTTAAGTGAATGTTTGTAGTTACAATGGTGGGAAAACGCATAATATTTAAAGTTACCATGTTTCTTGTACTGTAACAATTTATATTCAGAATGTTGTAAAACATGATAAGCATAATTTGTGGCACAGGTATCAGACGTTTAGATTTTTTGTCAAAGATTTGTTTGGTTTACTTTTATTGACAAAATTTGGGATAATTTTACTTTATGTTTATGAGTCAACCTTATTTCCAACAACTGGTTTACTTAATTACAATTAACATTTTATTAAAAAACAGCAGTTTAAAAGTTATCTGTACTTTTGATTAGAAGAATGCACTTTTCACTAATGAACTACAGAAAACCTTACCAGAAAAACAGGAAGTTGAAATTTATCATTTAACACTACGGCTTGTACACTGCATGGTCCACAGAGCCGGGCAATAACTTCTTTACCCAAAAAGTTTGCGTGGAAAATGAACAGCAGGATGCCAGAGCCTGAAGAAGGGAGATGTAAACGTAGACTTCAACACCAATCCCAATGGCCCCTTTCAGAGCCCGAGGGAGGAGCAACTGTGCTGGTGTGAGGCGGGCGCCCAGGTGAGCCTGGGTGGTGGCACTCGCCTGGTGTCAGCTCACACAAACCACCTGAGTCGGTCTCCAATTTCACAACTTGGTGGTGGTGGTGCTATCTAGCATTTTCCCAACCAAAGAATCCTTTTTATTTTTCGCCCAAGTAATCCTGACTCATAGCCCATGGAACAGACTTTTTAAAATATGCTTTCCTACATTAAAGTTATTTTACTTTAACAAAAAGTGGTATTTAAAAATTGTTGCTGGGGCTGGCCCCGTGGCCGAGTGGTTAAGTTCGCACGCTCCGGTTCAGCGGCCCGCGGTTTTGCTGATTCGGATCCTGGGCGCGGACACGGCACCGCTCATCAGGCCACGCTAAGGCGGTGTCCCACATGCGACAACTAAAAATACACAACTCTGTACCAGGGGGCTTTGGGGAGAAAAAGGAAAAATAAAATCTTAAAAAAAAAAAGTTGTTGCTCACTGAGTACATGTGTATGGAATCCAATCCACGGACATTTCTGTGGTTGTCGTCTTTTGGTGTGAGTTTGAGAGACTTTCCATTTTCTTCCACATGCTATTTTTGCCTTTTCCAAATTTTCTGATTAATATTAAAATCTTATTATGAGATTTGAAGCTTTCACTGAATATCCAAAATATTTGGCAAGATTCATTTACTAAACAAAAGCTGTACTTTTAATAATAGAAAATAGGTTCTGTTAAGCCATTTTTAACATGGCAACATATTGATCCAGGCCAGTTATAAACAAGAGGAGACTTCATAAAAGAGATCTCAGAGAACCATTTGTTTTATTTATTCTGGTCCCAGGAAAGAAAGGGCAGGCTGGGCCCATGGCTCTTTCATCTCTCCTTTCAAGCTACTTAAGGTCTCACATTGTAATTTTGCGCTCGAGCTTTATGATGCAATTTCCTCTTCCTTAGAGCACTGAGGATCGAAAAGCTGGAAAAAAGGCCTCCAAATAATGGAGGGCCAGTTTCCTCTGTGTCTTTTCCCCTCAGCTCCACTAGGAAATAGCAGTTGGGACAAAGGTTGAATACAGTCACGTGCCGCACCATGACGTTTTGACCAATGACCGACCGCATACATGACTGGTCCCGTGAGATTACTATCACAGAAGCCTATGTGTAGTAGGCTGTACCAGCTGGGTTTGTGTAAGTGCACGCTATGATGTTCGCACAACAGATGAAGAGAAACTTCCTGGTGGTCAGACATTGTACACGTGCAGGGAAAAACTAACCCCTAAGGCAGTCCAGTTGTACTGAAGCGCAGGCACTGTGACTGGTGGGCGGCTGGCCCAGCTAAGTGATTCAGTCAAGACCCAGCCCTGTTCAGCCAGCCCCCGCACTCCCACAAATGGTCGCTTCAACAGTCGAAACTGCAAATCACAGTTTTCAGTGCTAAGTTCACTGAACACTAAGATGTTAGAAATGTCTGGCTGTAATTGGTAGGGCTATATTTTCTTTAATTAACTACTCATTGATATATATTTTTTAAATAGGTGGGTGGGTTTCTTTTTACTGAAACAAAAAAGCCAGAGCCAACTTCCTACTTTCAGGCAGAGTTTTCTCTACTTCATATGTGCAGCATGCATGCCCTAGAGAGGCCATGGTCATGGTCTTGCCTGCAAAGCACTTACTAAGCAGTAGATAGGAAGCAGAACTGAAGTGTCCATCTCTTGCTACTAAACTATACTATGAGGCAAGACATTTAGTTTTTTTTTCTTTTTAAAAGGGCAAGACTTCGGGCCGGCCTGGTGGCGTAGTGGTTAAGTTTGTGTGCACTGCTTTGGTGGCCCAGGGCTCACAGGTTTAGATCCCAGGCAGGGACCTACACACTGCTCATCAAGCCATGCTGTGGTGGCGTCCCACACACAAAATAGAAGACTGGCACAGATCTTAGCTCAGGGCCACTCTTCCTCAAGAAAGAAAAAAAAAAGAAAGCAGCCAAGACTATTAGTAATAAAATTCAGGACAAACGTTGATTCTGGACTTAGAATCTTCAAGCTAAATCTCAATAAAACTCAATTTTAATAAAACTAGTATAATATTAACACCCAACTTGACCACTTTTCAAACAAGTGCTAACAGTGCTCTGTGGACCTCTCAGTCACTTGGGATGGTGGATATCAGTTAAGCCTGTTATTTTTTCTGTCAGAGTAGCTCCACTGTTGACATCATTATTACACATAATGGAGTTTCCTTAAGGTTTTGTTCAAAGGAAAAGTTCTGCCCAAAAACCAGTTAATATTTACAGTGTCACATTTCAAAATGAAAGAAAACAGGCTTACCTTCTGGTATGTTCTGTGGGGGTTTGTAATTGAAATCCGTTGAAAAATCAGGCCCCTCACAGAGACGATGACATGCTATTGGAAAAATGGGTTCTACTAACGCAAGACGTGCTTCAAAGTAATCCCTTATTGTTTCTTCTGCTACTCTTGACAGTCTAAAAGAGTACAGTAAGAGTTATTAATGCGAAAAGGACCATGAGTCATAAAATTATTAAATTGTTGAATGCCAATGAAGCCTTCCCAGATCAGCCTTTCAGGAAAAAAAAAAGCAGCAACTTGCCTCATCTTGCCGCCCTGCTCTGTTTCTCCTCGGCGCTCAGCACACAACACACTGTATCAACTTGTCTTACTACGTCCTCTCGTGGGGACTGAGGCTCCAGGGCAAGTCTTTCCCCCCTGCTCTCTCCATCTCCCCAGCCTTTTCAATAATGCCTGGCACATAGTACTTACTATGTATCTGTCTAATGAATGAATGATCAATTTGGAGAATCAGAAATGAAAAGTCCATTAAAAAATAAGTTGAAGAACTGCCACACATACAAAAGTCTTGTTACAGTACTTTGTTTAGAAAGCAGTCAAAATTATTAGTGCTGACTGAGAAAATATTTTTAAGCTCTCTTGCTGGGAAGGTAACCAGCTCTACACTGGTTTGCCTGGGATATTCTGATTTTAGGAGTGTAAGCCCAAAGTCCCAGGAAACTCATCACAGTTTCAAAACAAAGTCCAGCATCCCAGGAACCCCTCGGGCTCCGGCAAACCAGGAAGCCAGGTTGCCCAACTTGCTGGCCATCTGTGACTCTTACCCAGGTGAAGAGACAGAAGAGTTCACATCCCAGGATTCCTTGCAGCCATGAAGGCTGGTCGCAGACTCACTCAAACTACCGGTTGGATGAGGCTCCCAGCAAAGGCTGTCAAAGTGCGCAGACTCACCAGAGCACATGCCCTTTGACCTTTGCCTTTTTGTCTCGTCTGAAATTTACCTTTCCTTCTGTTTAGAATATAGATCCTACACCTGGCATTGGAGTAACCATCTTGCGGGCATGAAGATCCAAGTCATATCCTAAGTATGAGAGATGAGGAAGAGACGGGAAGAGTGGCTGTTCCTGCCCAAGGCTGCCCACCCCTGGACTCCCTGTTACAACAGTAAACACCTTATTTGTGTTAGCTACTGTTTGTGAAGTTTCTGTTATGTGTTGCCAAAATAATTCCTAAGTGATAAAAAGAAGAAAACTATTTGTATGAACTTCTAATAAAATGAGATGATCTGGAATTCATTTGAAAAGGAATAACTTGAATGGATAAACTGTAATACATCCAGACTATGGAATTATCACTCAGTGCTGAAAAGAGAAGAGCCATCAAGCCATGGAAAGATACGGAGGAACCTTCAATGTGTGTCACTAGTAAAAGTAGCCCGTCTGTAGGAAGAGGCCACACGCTGTATGGCAACTGCAGGACCTTGTGGAAAAGGCAGAACTATGGAGGCAGGAAAAGATGGGTGGTTGCCAGGGTTTCGGGGGCACAGGAGGGATAAACAGGAGCAGCACAGGGGATTTTTAGGGCAGTAAAACTACTCTGTGCGACACTGTAATGGTGGATTCGTGTCATTACACATTTGTCAAGACCCCTAGAATGTACAACATCAAGGTGAACCCCACTGTAAAGCCTGGACCCCGGGTACTAATGATGGGTTACTGTAGGTTCCCGGGTTACTACAAGGCTCTGCTCTGGCGGGAAGCTGATGACGGGGAGGCTGTGCATGTGTGGCAGCAGGGGGTATATGAGAACTCTCTGTACTTTCCTTTCTTTTTTTTAAAGATTTTATTTTTTCCTTTTTCTCCCCAAAGCCCCACAGTATATAGTTGTATTATATTCTTCATTGTGGGTCCTTCTAGTTGTGGCATGTGGGACGCTGCCTCAGCATTGTTTGATGAGCAGTGCCATGTCTGCGCCCAGGGTTCAAACCAACGAAACACTGGGCCGCCTGCAGCGGAGCGCGCGAACTTAACCACTCGGCCACAGGGCCATCCCCGAGAACTCTGTACTTTCTGCTCAGTTTCACTGTAAAGCTAAAACTGGTCTAAAAAATTACGTCTATTTAAAAAAAGAAAAAAAGACTGAACTAAAGGTTTTAAGAAAGTGTGCGTGAGCCAAACTGAGGGCATAACTGTGATTTTAAGGAGACACTCCTGGATAGGACAGTGGTACGTGTGAAAGTTTCTTAAAAATAATCCATATACCACTTATTAAATTCATGATGTTTTGAGAGCAAAAACCCGTCAGGACTTGTACTTGACAATCTTTTTTGAGCAGCTCTACACAGGCCACTCCAGTTATGATGTGTCCAAAGAGATAGGAGACTTTGTGACTTGACTGTGACACATTCACTTCACACTTACGTCTCTAAATGATTCTTCAGCAAGTCGTACACCAATACGTTGTTACACTGCTTTGCAAAATGCAGCGCACTATTTTGGTGCTTGGACAAAATATTGCAGTCAGCTCCACATTCAATCACAAGTCGTACGATGTCTGAATTTCCTCTTTTACAGGCCTATGTGAGGAAGGAGGAGAAATAATTACTGACACCTAAAATAAGGTAACTACCAGTCAGTGTTTGCCCTTTTTGCCACACATGAGCCTGGAGTTCTTCATGGAGAGAGGGGAGAAAACCTGGGTCGTGCTCCTGAGTGTCAGAAACTGTCACATAAACGAGCGTGGGAGGCTCCTTTTACTCACTCAACAGCACAGAAATTTGTGTGCCACATTCATTCCTTGGGAAACGGGCAACTTTGAAAAAGATGCTTCTGTTTCAAGATAGAAGAAACCCTAGGCCTTTCTAAGCTCTATCGTGCACTGTGTTCAGCCACGTCCCATGTCCTATGACCCAGAATCTTAGCAGAGGTACCCAGAACAGAGAGCTTGCCCCTCACTCTTAGAGAAGTTAATACTGATCTTCCTCAACTTACGATGGGGTTACTCCCCGATAAACCCACAGTAAGTTGAAAATATTGTAAGTCAAAAAGGCATTTAATACACCTCACCTACCAAACATCACAGCTGAGCCTCACCTAAACATGCTCAGAACACTTCTTGCATTCCACTACAGTTGGGCAAAATCACCTAGCACAAAGCTTATTTTATAAGAAAGCGTTGAATCTCTCATGTAATTATTGAACACTGTACTGAAAGTGGAAAGCAGAATGGTTCTAAGTGGATCGGTGCTTTACCCTCATGATCACGGGGCTCACTGGGAGCCGTGGCTGCCACTGCCCGGCATCACGGGAGACGGCATGTTCCTGGCCCAGGAAAGAGAGCAAAATTCAAAATTCAAAGTTCAGTTTCTACCGAACGCATATCACTCTCGCACCATCGTTAAGTTGAAAGATTGTTAAGTGAAACCATCCTCAGTTAGGGACTGTCTGCACTGGGAATCTCTACCGCATCTCTTAATGCCACAAAGTAACTTCAGAACTTCCCTAGCGGCTGCCTTAAAGGACACTGACTAAGCACAGACACAAAGGTGAATTCAGCAAATCTAAAATGGAGCTGTGACAGTTTAAAGACCATTTCTGGAGTACAAAGACCTACATCCAGGGTTCTCTTCCTGTCTCTGTCAGTGCCTTCAGCTAAGCCCCTTAATTCTGAGTTTTGCTGTATCGTAAACGACCAGGGCCAGGCCAGTGAGCTTTCCTCCAAGAACACAGTGGGAGCCTCAGCCCAGGCCAGCTGGTCTGCTGTCCACTCAGGGCCAGCATTTCTACAGAACGGCTACCTAGGTTGGGCAGCCGCCGGATCAGAGGGCACGCAGCTCTCCGGGGAGCTGACACACTGCCCTTCACAAAGCCGTAACTCCGTGGTTCTCAGCAGGGGTGAGCCTGCCCGCCAGGGAAGGTCAGGTAACGTCTGGAGACATTTCTGGCGTCACAACTGGGAGTGAGTGCTACTGGCATCTAGCGTAGAGGGCAGGGGCGCTTCAAAGATCCTGCAGTGCACAGGACAGCCCCACGGCAAAGAACGACCTGACAACACGGTCCACACTGGGAAGCTGAGAAGCCCTGCTGGGACCAACTACACCCCCACCAGTGGGCGAGAACGCGGTTTCTCTGCACTCTCCCACTCTGGGAAATGACCAATTTTATACATTATTTCCTGAGATGAAAAGGTTTTTATTTCAATTTCTGAAAGTCTTTCCCCATGTTTATTTCTTCTAATTCTAAAATTCAATAAAACTTAATAGACTAAATCCTTAAAGCAATTAAAATACTGTTTTTTCAGGAACAAGTACCTAAGTAAGTAAAAGACACTAAGCGTAGATACTGGCAGCCTAACTGAGACAGTACTGAGAGACGCTTTAAGCTCTCCTCTGGGGAGCAGCACAAACTGTCCCTCGACCCACCCTCCCTGCGGGCACTGCCCTCTCCTCCTCAGACAGGCTCCTGCGTACCCACCACACCCACCCACACCTCTGCACTCCCGGCAACCTCACCCTGAGACCACACACAACTCCTCCGACAGGGCACCGACCCCGGCCAAAGTGCAGGCTAATGGCACTTCTCAGCTCGGCCTCTGATGTTCTGATGATGTGCCCCAGTGGACACTGCCAGCCAGCTCTTGCCTGAACACTGCCTTCTCTTGGCGCTCGTGACGCCTCTCCTCATCTTTCTCCTACTTCTCTGTCCTTCCTGTGCAGCCTCCTGCCATCCCTGGCCTTTCTTACCTTTCCAGCTCTCAGTGAGTGACCCCATCCTCAGCCCATGGCTATAATCACTGTCGCCTACTGATGACTGCAAACCTGATGCCCCAGCCCACACCTGAGCTACAGCTCTCATGGGAAACACCTGAGCATTCCTAGCTCAAACGCAACAGGTACAAAGCTGAGTGCCCGTCTCCCCATCCATACCTGTGCTCCTCTGTTTGCTAACTTAGGAAACAGGATTACCACGTCCTGTGAATTGTACCTCCTTAAAAAACTGGTCAGCCTACCTACTTCTATCTCTGCTGTCACTACCTAGCTACAGACTATTATTTTACTTAATTTTAAGAATCACCCTACGCGTCTGCAAACTGCATGTCTTTCTAACCAATCCATATTCCCATACTGTCCTAGGGGCATTAAAAACAACCAACCACAGCCAGGCCCAGCCTTTCTTCTGATTATGTCTGAGAAACAGCTTGAACCTTGTAATGGCTCCCAACTGCTCTCAGGAGAAATGACTAATGCCTTAGCACGGATGTCGACAGTTTTCGTGCTCACTCCCCACACAGACATTCATGCTCCAGACGATCTGCTGTTTAGGATACACCTGCTGATTTCTCAATAAGAAAAAGTTCAAATTCATGCTTTGAGGTGGCACCTTTGCTCTAAGCATATGGTAATAATAGAAACACATACAAGAAAACTGAAATTCCAAAGTAGGGCTCCTAAATAAAAGAAACATTTCCATGAACCAAAATGAAACAGAAACACAAGCAGTGAGCAAGGTTTAAACCTCGTGTGTGGACGAAGGCCAAGGGCGCAGGTGATCTAGGCCTTTTAGAACTAACAGAGACTCCAGATGAGACTCAGGGCCAGGCCACTGCTCACTCGGGGCTGGACCATGCTCCCTTCCTGACTCACAAAAGAAGGTTGAAAACAAGGACTTCAGACCAACAGTGACTTGAGTCAATGGCTTACACAAAGCTGCATCTCGGGGAGGGAGTAAGACAGAGCCTCCACATGGGAACTGAACCAAGCCACCCACAGCTCGGTGTCAGGACCTGCTCTGTCCTCACAGCACCATGGACCAGGAATTCAGAACTGGCCCAAGAAGAGGCTGGACCAGGCTGGGCCCAGAAGAGCCAAATGCAAAACCAGCCCATCCCTGCTAACCTGTGCTTCGTGTTCAGGACACAGCTTAGCCACCCACCACACCCACCCTAAGGCTTGTCCTGAATCCACACAAGACTGAGCTCGGTACAGACTTCCGTGTAATCTCACAGCTGTCACATTACTGGTGACACCGAGTTTTAACTGCTTCTGGTCTCCTTGTCCTCCTGCTCTGACCTTCTTGAGTCCAGAGACTGTTCTGCTCCCCATCCCACTCCCAGCCCCCAGCACAGTCCAGTGGTGAAGAGATTGAGGACCGAGCGACCCATGTGAGGCATTTACCTTCATTAGTGCGGTCTCGCCATTGCTCTGCTGCACATTTACAAATGCTCCTGCTTCCAAAAGAATAGCCACTGTAGTTAAAAAGTTCTATTAAAGGAAAAAAAAAACAAAAACAAATTTAATTCCCCAAATTCTTAAACAAATATTTTTAGATGTTTTGAAATTTTTTTCTTTTTTAACATTTTATTTTTCCTTTTTCTCCCAAAGCCCCCAGGTACATAGTTGTGTATTTTCAGTTGTGGGTTCTTCTAGTTGTGGCATGTTGGACGCCACCTCAACGTGGCCTGATGAGTGGTGCCATGTCTGCGCCCAGGATCCGAACTGGTGAAACCCTGGGCCGCAGAAGTGGAGCACGTAAACTTAACCACTGGGCCACGGCGCCGGCCCCAGATGTTTTGAAATTTTTAGCCACCAGAAAAATACTCAGATTCTATTCCAAGCAGGCTGGTGAACACAGTATTCCCGGTTCTTCATGTGCAGGGTCCCGCAGGAGCCGAAGGCCCCACTGCTCACGTGCCCATGCACAGCCACAGACCATTGTGCCAGCAACCTCAGTCTGAAGTTTAACCCCTGGTTTCAACATTAAGAACCTCTGCATATCAACCCTTTAAAAAGACAATATATGGGAACATTTTAATTAAATTATTAACCAAGAGGAACACTTAATTTCAATTATAAAAGATTTTTAAAAGATCTAAGATTGAAATCAATATTAGCACCTTAATCAGAGGTCTTTTTTCTTTTTTTTTTAAAGATTTTATTTTTTTCCTTTTTCTCCCCAAAGCCCCCTGGTACATAGTGGTATATTCTTCATTGTGGGTCCTTCTAGTTGTGGCACGTGGGACGCTGCCTCAGCGTGGTTTGATGAGTGGTGCCATGTCTGCACCCAGGATTCAAACCAACGAAACACTGGGCCGCCCGCAGCAGAGCGCGTGAACTTAACCACTCGGCCACGGGGCCAGCCCCTCAGAGATCTTTTTTCAACAAATCACTTCCAACTAGATAAATCACATTTTGAAAATTCTATTACAAAGTACTACTACTGGTTAAAAAAAATCTGTTCATGACAAGCCACAGATGAACTGAAGTATGAAATTTTGAAGTTACGTGACTACGTGACCATTCTATTTCACTACAGAAACAGACTCCATCTTAGTTCATGGGCAGGAATCCTCACAGGACGATGAAAGGCGTATCTTCAGTGACCAACCTTCTCCGCTGCGTGGATGAGGGCAGTGGTTCCGTTCTTCTGCCTCCCATTCACTTTGGCTCCTTTTCTGATGAGGAGCCTCAGGAGGTCATCTTGCCCGCCCGCTGCGGCAAGCATCACCAGGGTCATCCCGCTCGAATCCTTTATTGGTTTTGTTTAAGAAAAAACATGTCAACGTTTACTCAGAAAAATTTTCAAACTAAATCTTCTCACTTAGGATGTTTCAATGTGAAATCACTAAACTGCATTGATTTACCACCTACTTAGGTTTTTCACTAAAATATCCTAGTAAACAATCAGAAACTAATAACCTCTAGAAGTTTTTTCATATATAAATGTTACCATAAAATCTTACAACTTCTTTGTATTAAGTTCTAAAGGCACATCACCACTTTGCATGACAGAAAATGAACAGTGAATCTTGATGCTATACAAAAGGCAAAGGTAGTTATTTATCTATCTCACTTTTCAGGTCCAAAGTCTCCTGTGTTCTAGGTGAAACAGGTGAAACTCACACCTTCATTACATTCATTTAGTTGGCCCAAAGATATAAGGCGAGAAATGACCAGTGGAAGTAACATAGCCCATTCTATTGATGACAAGCTAAAATGAACGCTCTCTGGATGAGACAAATGTCCGCCACATAAATGTATTGTTGGGAAGTGAGAGAGTGACTGCTCTAAGGATAAAGAAGAACACTCAGAAGTAGGACACAGGACACTGATATGATTAGTTTCTAAGAGGCCAGGACAAGACAGAGAAATTAAAGAAATGTGCTTTGAATACAGATAAAATTACATAAAGCTGACAAAAAATAAAAAGGTAATTATCAGTTAAATATTTCCAATCACTAGTTGAAACACCATATGGGGAACAAAACGATTTATTAAATAGCATTTGATAAAACCAAATTCTAATACAATAGGAGTTAATTTGGCTCTAATCTGAAAGTTTACACAACTTGCCTGTATGAGCAAACTGAGGGAGCACAAATGTAAGAAAATTATCCCTGGGGGTATCACCTGAGACAGATGCAAGAGAATCCACCACAACTGAAATAACACAGTGTGACCACTTCCTCTCAGTCATAACGTATCTTATTACTACAAAACTTGGTACGTGAAAAAAAACTTCTTCTAACTTCAGAAAGTTCCCTGCAGCTACTATGCTTTATTAATAAGAGCAAGCTACATAAGTATTAAAGTAGGAAAAAAAAAAAAACCCAAAATCCATCCCTAATGAAAACTTAAGCAGCTAAAAGAAGAAAGGACGTAGAGGAAGATAAAGGCTAACCAGAAAAAACCAAAGCACAATCCTCACGCTTGAGACCCTCAAGGGGAAATCCACACCCACATCAGAGAAAGAACTGTCTCTGTCACCACTATTATTCAAAATGTCAACAATTTCACAAGACCAGAAAAGAAACGTTATTGGAAAAAAGGGAAACAAGTTATTTTTTAGCAGATGATCAAATTCTCTACCCAGAAAATCCAAGGTTTTCTTGATTTAATTGTGGATTTTCTGGGTTTAATCTTTTGAGATTACAGTTCAAAACAGTTATTGGGGGGCTGGTCCTGTGGCCGAGTGGTTAAGTTTGTGCGCTCACTTCGGCAGGCCAGGGTTTCTCTGGTTCGGATCCTGGGCGCAGACATGCACCCCCTCATCAGGCCATGCTGAGGTGGTGTCCCACATGCCCCAACTAGAAGGACCCGCAACTAAAATATACAACTATGTACTAGGGGGATTTGGGGAGATAAAGAAAAAAACAGGAAAAAAAATTTAAAAATTATCAGAGTAAGAGAATCTCATAAAGTGACTAAAGACAACACACACAAACATACACAGAGAAATCAATAGCTTTATCATTAATGTAATAACCAGTTAGAAAACAAAATGTGGGGGAAAAGATCCTAATGATCATAGTAAAATAACTAATAAAGTATGTAGGAATATAATCTAAAATAAATGTACAAGAACTATATGAAGGAAAAAACTCATAAAACTTTGCTTAAGGGAAAAAATGAAGAGCTGAATAAAGGTAGTTATGTTCCTAGATGGAAGACTCAAAACGTAAACATGCCAATTCTCAGCCAAATTTAGTCTACACGTATCATGCAATTTCAATCAAAATCCCAGTAACTGGTTTTTTTTCCTGCTTTTTCTCCCCAAATCTCCCCAGTACATAGTGGTATATTTCAGTTGTGGGTCCCTCTAGTTGTGGCATGTGGGATGCCGCCCCAGCATGGCCTGATGAGCAGTGCCATGTCCGTGCGCAGGATCTGAACCAGCGAAACCCTGGGCCACTGAAGCGGAGCGCGCAAACTTAACCACTTGGCCACGGGGCTGGCCCCCCAATAACTGTTTTGAACTGCAATCTCAAAAGATTAAACCTAGAAAATCCACAATTAAACCAAGAATACTAAAGAAGAAAATATAAAAATCTTTTCTAAGACAAAGCACTCAAAAGTCAAAAAGGAAAAGATCAACAGACGTGACTACCTAAAAATAAAAACTCTCTAAGCCATAAAAGACCCAAAAACCAAAGCCTAAAAACTAGGAAGAAAGGGTTAATATGCCTTCAAGTATAAACCCTAATAAATCAGTACGAAAAACCCAGCAGCAACTGAAAGACAGGCAGTTGCGATCAAACCTGAGGGACAACACAAAGACAAGGAGTCACTCACACTCCTCCAGGCTGCGGAGGTGACACACAGACACTCAGAGGACAGCGGAACCAAATGGTTATTTCAGAGGCTGGAATGACAGGGACTATCATTTTCTACATTATCTATTTCTACAATGTTCGAACTTTATAAAGTGAACATGCATTACTTTTATAATTAAAAACAGAAGTAAAAAATAAAACTGAATTCTTTTAAGAGTGACTTTCCATCTTACTTTCATGAGAGTTTACAAAGACATATTACCTCTTGGTCCAGGTTATACTCTTCATTTGAATTAAGTGCAACCTTTACAGTAATATAATCCCCATTTTTCACAGCATCCCTCAATAAATCTAAAAAGAAAGAAATGATAAATTAGGTTTTATCTATCTAGATTTCATGAAAAGGATCCCCATAATTCCAAAACTACGCACTACTTGGAATTGCATCCGCTGAAGGAAAATTCTCATCTTCCCCATCAAGATGCTTCTGGAAGTCTTCTAACGTCATCCATTCTAGCTGTAAGTCCATGCCCAAACTCAAGATCTGTTGTTTGCCATCTGGAACACACAAGAACCTTAGTAAGTACATTTTTCTGGATAATAAAAAAATACAATGCGGTTTTATTAAATCTGTGGCGTCAAAACCAAAGCTTTATATATGCTCTTACATATATCATTATGTAACTCAGTCTTTAAATTTCTGATTTTCTTCGGCAAGCAATATGAACACCCACATTTAGATGTCACGGTGCTTCAAAGGCATAAAGATAAACAGGTAACTTATTAACTCAAACAGTGAAATATGAATTTTAAGCACAGGATTAAGCAGCTCAGAGGAACAGAGAAATCACAGGGATTCAGGAAGAGGACTCTACCATTTCCTTCTTTGGCCATTCTTCTTGGACAGACATTGCTTTCAATCATTTATGTAGGTAAAGTCACTCTAAATGTGTAAACCAGACCTGTATGTAAATAAGTCATTGCTTACTGATCCTTCCAGACTCAGCTCCAGCTTCTCCTCCTGGAACCCCTCTCTGCTGAGTACCCCGCCGTGCTCCCACGGCTCTCTACTGCCCATCACACCACGAGGCAAGTGCAAGCTGCTCCCCTCATTTGTCTGATCCACAGGCTCATTAACACTTTGGACGGACATGGTCGTCCCCTACTGGCAGTGCAATCAATGAGATGTGAGCATAACTCATTGGAGAGGAACTCAAAATGACTGTACTATTTTAAAAAGTTGAAAAGCACAAATATTTGATGGTAAGAGTGAAAGGATTTTCACCTAAAATCAATTCCTCAAACTACACAGATGTTATGCAGTTAACCTTGCCATAGAAATGAAGTTTGTAAAAGAGACGAGAATAAATGCAGGAACTTGTCCCAGAGCTCTGAACCCAAACACTTCCTGTGCTGCCTCCAAGAGCACTCCATCGGAGACAGCACTGCCTTTGCAGCTACCCGTCCTGGATCTGAATCCCAGCTCCATGTTACCTGGATGTCTTTGTCTAAGGCATAAACTTGCTGCACCCCACTTTCTGAATAATGACAGTAGTGTTAACAATGAAAGCAGCTAACATTCATTAAGGAGTGTGAACTTATTTAAACGAATTAATACACTGAATTAATTTGATTTAATACACAATAACCTGTAAAGGGATACATGTTACAGATGAGGAAAGTGAGGCTCAGACACACACACCAGGAAGCCAAGAGCCACAGCTGCAATGAGACGTATCTGAAAGCACAGGTGGACCTCCCCCACTGCAGCGCCACAACAGAGCACACAGAAAGGTCTGGGAGCAAGAGAGATGAGCGTTCAGGTAAGCTGAGACAACAGCATCTGATTTACAGGACTGGCACGGAGCTACAGGGTCAGAAAGGGTTATGCTGCAGCTCAGCTTTCTGTCTCTAATGAAGCCAACTGGTTCAAACTCCTCTCTTCATTCCTACCAAGGACTGCATCTTGGATCTTAACTCAGCATCTGGTGGTTTTAACTTTTTCTCTTTATTTTTAATAAAAAACTAGATGTAAAGGAAAGATCGTAGGTAACGAGGTGAACTCTGTGAATGCGGCACTGCCCTGAACACAGAACCACTCTAGGCCACGCGTGCTCCCTTCTACCCCACGACACCGACCGCAGAGGCAGGTCTTGTACATCTGGGATTCTGGTCTGTCATTCCCTTTCATTCTTTTTTAAAAGTAGTATGGTTATAAATACATGTATCCGAAAAAAATCTGCAGTTAGTTTTGGTAACTTCTTAGTTTCATAAAAATTGCTTTCTGTGATGGTTAGTTCTGTGTGTCAGCTTGACTGGGGAAGCCTGGACAGCTGGTGAAACATGGTTTCTGGGTGTGTCTGGAAGAGGTTAGCATCTGAGTCAGTAGGCTGAGTTAAAGATCCCTCCTCATCAGGGTGGCCCAACATCACTGAATCCCTGGCGTGGCCGAGGAAGGGAGATTTCTCTCCTCTTGAGCTGGGACATCCCTCTTTTTCTGCCCTCAGATTGGAGTTCCTGGTTCTTGGGCCTTCAACTCCAGGGCTTACACCATCGGCTCCACGGTTCTCAGGCCTCCGGACTCGGACACCACCAGCTTTCCTGGGTCTCCAGCTTGCACATGGCAGACTGTGGGAGTCTGCTAACCCTCCATAATTACGTAAGCCAATTCCTCCTAATAAATCTCCTTTTTTCTCTCTCTCTCTCTCTCTCTCTCTCTCTCAATATATCCTATTGGTTCTGCTTCTCTGGAGAACTTTGACTAACACAGTATCATACTGCATTATTCTTTATATATTTTGGATACTAATCCTTTGTCTTTCTGCCCCTTTTAATAGTAACTTTGATGAATGGAACTAACTTTTGTAGTCAATTTTATTACTCTTTTCTTTTTGGTATTTTTTTGTGTCTTGTTTAAGAAATCCTTTCCTACTTCCAAGGTTGGACAGACATGATTCTTTATCCTCTAAATACCTAACAGCTAACTGTCCTCTTTATATTTAAGGCCTTAATCCATGAGAGTTTGATCTTCATGTACCGTGTTTCTTCCACAGGATAATCAATTATCCTCACACCATCCACGAAGAGTTCATCCTCCCCATGGATCTGTATTGCCACTTGTCATCTACCCAGTTTTTAGATCTGAGAGAGTCTGATTATGAGGTCTCTGCTCTGTTGAGTAGCTCAGCTACCTTCTCTGTGCCAGGTAAATACTCTATCTACTGCTATAATTTTATATAAAGTAAAGCGCCACTTAACAACGGGGACACATTCTGAGAGACGCATCATTAGGTGATTTCCTTGTGGTGTGAACATTGTAGACTGCACCTACACAAACCTAGGTGGTACAGCCTACATCACACACCAGACTATATGGTACTAATCTCATGGGACTGCCGTCGTATATGCGGTTGGTCCTTCATTGATGGAATTTCCTTAAGCTGTGCATGCCCCGAGTAGGTTCTGATTACAGCTGGGATAACCAGATCTGGCTTCTTTAGTCTTTCACATAAATCTTAGAATCAGTATTTGTAAATTCCACAGGAAATTATGCTGAGATTTTGACTGGAACCACAGTGACACTACAGACCAATGTGAAGAGAATGACAAATTTATAAAACTGTATTTTCTATTAATAAAAATGGTATACATAAATTTTATTAATAACTTGCAAGAAACTTTTATAATTTTCTCCATACAGGTCTTACATATCTTTTTGAAATACATCCTTAGCAATCTTTTAAAAAGTGTTGCTGTTGAAAATTATCTTCTTAAAATTAATTTACTATGTATGTAGAAATGTATATAGAAATGTACATTATATAGAAATATATATATAGAAATATAGTTAATTTTTGTACACTGGTCTTATATCCACCTTGCTAAACTCTTAGAATATTTCTAATAATTTATTTATAGATTCTTTCAAGTTTGCTACATGTATTATGCCATCTGATAATGGACAGCTGTTTTTTGTGTGTTTATGGGCGGGGCGGGGGGGGGGGGGGCTTCTTTTCCAATGCTTAGGTCTTTTCATTTTTTAGTGTCTTACTGTGCTGGGTAGACCTTAATATAACACTGAACAAAAGTGGTGATAGACTGCACCTTTGCATTGTTTCTGATTTAAAAGAAATGTTCCCAATGTTTCACCATTAGAAAATATGTTTGCTGAAGGTTTAATGCTCTTTATTGACTGAGAAAGCTCCCCCCTTTTTGCTAGGTTTTGTTTTTTAAAAATCAAGAATGCTATTAAATCACTTAATTCCTAAGGAACATCCAGCGTGATCTAAGAGGTTATGTTTTTACTCATGGCTACATTTAATTTGCTAATGTTCTGTTTGGGATTTTTACATCTGAGTTCGAGTGAGCTTGGCCTGTCATCTTCCTTTCTTACATAGTTTTTGTCTGGTTTTGGTACTGAAGCTATAAAGGGCTCACAGAACGACTTAGCATTCTTTGTCTGTTTTCAAGGAAGAAAGTTCTTACATATGAAACCATCTGTGCCTGGTGTTACAATTTGTAAGGCTATTTTAAATTGCTATTTCATATTTTTTAATAGTATAAGACTATTCAATTTTTGTATTTCTTCTTGGGTCAGTTTTGTTAAACTGTATTTTTCCAGGAATTTTCCCACTTCATTGCGTTTTTTCACATCGACTGGTAAGAAATCACTCATAGAATTCTTTTATCTTTTTAATCTGGACACAATCTACAATCACGTCTCTTTTTTCATTGGAAATATTCTTTAAGCCTTCATTCTTTTTTTCCTTAGAGGACTGTCTATTAGTCTTTTCAGTGAAGCAACTTCTGGCCTTAATGATGCTCTCTATTGTTGGAGGAGGTCACTGACTGAGAGCATGAGACTGCTGGCTTCCCCAGAGCTGGACCTGGGCAACGGGAGGCCCCTGCCCTATCCTTGGAATGCATGTTCTGCTCAACGTTTCCATGGTAGAAACCACTTCAAGGACACAGCCTTGAGAGCGTAAGGTGTTGCTGAGACCATCTGGACTGATTCGTGACTGAACTACATTCAGGCATTCGGGTGGGTGGGTGTGGGGATCTACTCGTCCGGCACTGCCCAAGACAAGCCTCCTATGTAAGTTCCCTTGCTGATTAAACCTGCCACCCCCCATCTGGAGTGGCCTGCCTCTTTCGTCAGGCTCTCCCTGCCCTCTGTGTCCGGGGGCCAGTTTCAGGTTTCACCTGGGCAACGCCCGTGGTTGGGACTCAACAAGTGGCGAGCTGGCCAGGAGACTGAAGAGATGGGTCTTGGGAAAGAGGCATCTGGGGGGGAAATCTCGTGTTGACTATTGACCTCTCTGTGGGGAGGGGTAGACTGTATGTCAGATGCTTGTGGAGCGCCACCTGACTACAGGGACACTCCGAAAATGCTGGCTGTTTTAATGCCTTTGCTTAAGAAACTGCGGATGGCACACTGCAACAAAAAAGAGAAAGGAATGGCAGCTACAGAAGGCTGGCCTCTACTGTGGGCAGTTCAGCGGCCACCGATGCCCAACTGGCATCTGAAGCTCGTACAAAGTTGGAAGAACAGCTGAGGATAGAGAAAGATGTACGGTATCCACTACTCTGCTAGCACTGGGGCTGGCAGACAAAGTGAGAGAGCAGGGTAAGTCGGAGACCTCAGTGTGCCATTGTGCAAAGCTGGGAGGATGCAAGCTGCCTTAGATTAAGGTCCAAGTGCTTGTGACAAAGCCGACTGAGATACTAAGAGGCAGAATCGCTGGGAAAGTGATGAGTGAGGAGGATGTTGTGGTGACTGACAGTGCAACGGAAGAAACACCCCATGCCCTCCAACCCCTAATACAAAGGAGAACAAAGCACAGCAACAACAACCCCAGGCATCAGGGCAGCCCCCAGTGCAGGAAACTTTCATGATGAGAGAATACCGCGGGCTGAGCTTTCTGATATAGCTGCCAAGTTCCAGCAAAAGGCCAGGGCAAGTATCCAGGCACGGTTGGTATAGCCATGGGAGACGGGGGGAGGTGATGGTACTTCTCTGACCCAGCAGGAGGCAGAGAAGAGGAGCAACATCCCCACAGCCCGCCCACCAGCAGTGCCTGCATGGTGTGCAGTTCAAGGCACTCACTCCCTTACAGACTGGATTATTCCTGCCTGCAGGGAGGCGTGGCCCACTAAGGGGGATGCCCTGGGCACCTGGAAACCTATGCAGGAGGTACAAGAAATCCTTAGGGAGCTGGGAATGAGACAGGCCATCTACTCCCTGTCTTTGAAGGCCCTGATCAGGTCAAATTCACTGTAGCAATGAAAGCCAAGACACTCCAGTCCACCCCAAGCACCTGGTATGGGACACTGATATCCATGGTGAGCCCAGCTGGATAAGATGTTTATGATGTTGGGCAATCCATTGCTGATCTGAGAGAAACTGACAAATCCTCGGCTGTGGGAAATACCTGAGACAGAGAGGGAGCTCAAAAAGCCAAAGGTCCATCGCAGTCAGTTATAAAGCATCCAGTAAAAGCAACCTGAACAGACAGATGGACAACCCAATGCTGTGTTGTTGGTCAGCCTGTGGAAAGCCTTACAATCTGAACAACAGTTTAGACCTGCCCCACCTGCCCCACCATGCCCGATGCTCCGCCTGCTCAAGCAGAGGCCTCACAGGTACAGTCCTGTTCAGGGTGCGTGCCTCCCACACCCCAGGTATAGGATGCAGGCTAAGATCGCCTTCAGGTGAGGGCTGTTGCGGGTAACTGGAGGCCTCGTGTTGAGCTCACTACTCACTGTCTCCCAGAAATAAACAAGAGGTGATGGCTCTGGTGGACACTGGAGCCGAATGTACTCCAATCCATGGTCACCCTCAGAAGTGTTCTGGCCCCTCCGTGCCACCGATGGGTATGGGAGGCAAACGGTTATGGTGAGGAAGGTCCCTTTGACACGGCAAATTGGGCATTTTCCCCCACAAGAACACAAGGTTTTTCTCTCTCCAATACCAAAGAACGTACTGGACAATGATAACCTGTAAGGTCAAACTCTGCAAACTTCTATCACTGAATTCTGCCTCCAGGGTAGAGTAACTAAACCAGTACTGAGGGGAAACCCCAACTGGGAACCAGTAAGTCTCTAGACCCTGCAAAGAGTGATAACTGTCAACAATATAAATTGCCTGGGGGCTGGCCCCGTGGCCGAGTGGTTAAGTTCGTGCGCTCTGCTGCAGGCGGCCCAGTGTTTCGTTGGTTCGAATCCTGGGTGCAGACATGGCACTGCTCATCTAAACCACGGTGAGGCAGCGTCCCACAGGCCACTAGAAGGACCCACAACGAATAATATACAACTATGTACTGGGGGGCTTTGGGGAGAAAAAGGAAAAAAAATAAAAATAAAAAAAATAAATTGCCTGGCAGCATAAGGAAACAGGAGAAATTATCCAAGAACTGCACCCAGCAGGTACTATGCGCCCTGCCCATTGTGCTTTCAACAGCCCTGTATGGCTGGTAAAAAAGCCAGAAGGCTCATGACAGATGATTGGTGTCCATGAACTACTGAGAACTGAACACGGTGGGGGCCCCCAGCCGTGTGGCTGTGCCCAACACTGCCAACACCTTAGATAACTTGGCTACAATCCGAGAAGGGTGCTGTGCTGTACTGGACTTAGCAAAGGCTTTTTTCAGTATACCTCTGGCCACTGAGTCACAAGATCTATTTATCTTCACGTGGGAGGGGCAACAATGGACTCTCAAGTGCTTCCCCAAGGTTACCTGCACATCCCCACTGTATGTCATGGAATGGAAGCCCAAGACCTGTCCCTGTTCTCCTTCCCCACATCAGTAAAATGGGCCTATTACACTGATGGTATAATGTTAACATGTGAAGACTTGCCTCTGCTGCGTGACACTCTGCAGACTTTGCTGGAACATCTGTGAGAGAGAAGATGGGCAGTGAACCCATAGAACATCACCGTAAAGTTTTTGGGAGTCATTTGGTTCGTAAGATGTGCAATGACCCAAAAGCTGTGTTTGACAAGATGCAAGCCTATCCAACCCTAAGAACATGAAAGAAGTGAAGCCTTTCTGAGGATTTGGGGGTTTTGAGGACTTTTATTCCTACCTGGCACAGTGCCTCCATCCCTTACACCACCTGGTAAAGAAAGGACAAGTGTGGAGAGAACATCAGAGCAGCAAGCCGCCTTTGAGAAGGCAAAGAGCCAAGTAAAGCAGATTAAAGCTCCGGGCATCTCTGAGGCAGGGCTCCCACTGGAGTTAGATGAGTCTGGGACCCCAGAAGGTATGGGTGGGCACTGTGGCAAAGACAACAAAAAGAGACAGTACCTCTAAGATTTTGGTCCCAGTTCTGGAAGAGGGCAGAAACCCCCACAGAGTAACAGCTTCTAGCAGTGTACACAGTGCTTCTCCAGGTAGAGCCTCTCAGGAACAAATGGCATATTATGGTAAGAACTTCCCTTCCTATCAAGGGTGGTTTGATAATATGTTCCACTAACCCACCTCTGCCATGGCTCAGACTCCAACTTTGACTACATGGCATGCCACTTGCAGCAGAGGAGCACCTTGTCCTCCAGCCCACTGTCTCTACAAATGCGGGGGCTACCAGCATCTCTACCCTGTCCAGATGCCCTCATCCCTATTCCTGTGGCGGCCCCTGCGGCCTGCAGAGAGGGAGTAGGGGCAGTTCTCACTGACGCCTCGTACATAATGGATCTAGTCGGGGCAGCCCATCCTCATGAACTGCAGTCGCTATTCAGTCCAACAATGACACCACCTGGATGGAAACAGGAATGAAGTGCGGCAGCCAGTGGGCTGAACTCAGAGTGGACTGGCTGGCGATCCCTCAGGAGCCCTGGCTGATAACCCTTTGCACTGACAGTTTCGCGGTTCTAAAGGGATTAACCCTGTGGTTTGGACAGTGGGAAGCTGAGGGGTGGTGATCATGAATAAGCCCTTGTGGGGTCAGGAGATGGGGAAGGACATTTGGATTCACCTGCAAGAGCCTGAGGCAGTCCTCACTATCTGCCATGTCCCAGCTCATAAGGTGCTGACACCCCTGGCAATCAGGAAGCTGATGCCTTAGCCTGGCTATGAGTTCTAGCAACTGACCCTTCAGTAGATACAGCAGATCGGGTGCACAGAAAGAGCGGCCACTGTAGTACCAGGTGGGATGGTGTATTGCCAAGGACACTGGAATGCCGTTGAGACACAGCGATTTGGTTAACACAGTCACAGCATATCCGCATGTTCTAAACAAGGCCCAAGACATACCAAAGGAGTCTAGACCATCTAACAGACTTCCCAACCGGTGAGAAATTGGCACATTGACTATACGTGCCCCCTCCCTATGAGTGAGGGAGGGCTCTAAATATGCCTTTGTTTGTTCGGACATTGAGTCTGGCCTAACCCAAGCTTTCTCCTGTTACTGCACAAACCAGGCTGCCACCATCAGGGGGTCAGAGAAGCTGAGTAGCATGGACAGATACCCTCGTTGAACAGACAGTGATGGGGGTCACATTTTAGAGGTCATGAGATCCAAGACTGGGCAAAAGAACATGACACTGAATGGACACTGAAAACGTGACTAAACCCAGTTAAGGCCTCTATATAAACTGTTAAGATTCTGGCAGGTGGGTGTGGAGATCTACCTGTGCTGCAGCCGCCCAAGACAAACCTCATAGGTAGTCCCCTTTATTAACCTGCCCGCCTACCTGTCTGGAGTGGTCTGCCTCTTTCTTTGGTCTCTCCTTGCCCTCTGTGCACAGGGGCCAGTATCAGATTTCATCCGGGGAACTCTAGAGGCTGCCACCCATCACCTCCAGGTCTGTTCTTTAGAGCGTGGTGTCCCAACAGCACTGCTGCTATTTGGCATTTGCCCTCTGGGCAACCCACTTCCTCCCCCTTGTCTACTGGTTCTAGAAACTGTCCCAACTTCCTGCAAGCTCAGCAATGCCTCAAAAAGAATATGTTACCTAATATCCAGGATCTAGCTGTTTTGCAGTAAGAGGGCCCCCAGATTTCTCTAGTCCACCATATATTCTAAAATATTTAAAAAATTCTCAACTGTTTCTCAAGATTCACAAACTATACAAAGTTCATCAGATTAACCTCTTTTGTTTATTCTGTTGTAGTTATCAATCTATATACGTACTCTTTTCCTTACTCCTCCCCACAGCTGTTGTACTTTGTATTCTATACATGGGCCTCCCCTCCTAAGACAACTTGGAATTCAATATCCTCAGGAGAGCATTTACAATATAATCTTATTTAGAAAATGCTATTTACCGCAAAGCTAAAAGGGCAGAATACAAATAAGTCTGTATTTGACAATTTTATGAAAAAAATCTACTAAGATATACAATCAGCTGCTTGGCAAGAGTAGGTTAAGGTGGAAAACCAGAAATCTTTGTAATTTCTAACAGTGCATGATAGGGACTCAGAAAATGTTTGATCACTTTAGAACTCACAGGATGACCTAGGTCTTTGATATTAAAAGTTATTTATTCAGGAGATTCAAATAAAATGTTCTACTCCTTTATTTTCTGATCTTGAGATCAGAATTACAGTAGCAGAGAAGAGTGAGGAGAGGGAAATAATATGGCGCAGTACTCAAAAAGTTTTGCAAAATGACTGCAAACACACTTACCAGAATTCTCATCCACTTGGCACACACTGTCTAGAGCCTCTTGATCACCTTCAGCAGCTATGTACGCCCAAGTGTCCATTTCATCTCTTGTACTCCTCCTTTCTTTAAGTAACTGCTTGTTTTCCTTGGTTTTGTGATCTTCTGTGATTTTACAATCCAGTGGTATTTCTTCTCTTTTCCGATTATTCTCAGGGAAATCATTTTTTTCTTCTGGAGTTAATTTAAATAAATCAAATGCATTTCTGATTTCTTTAAATGCTAGTGAAAAACATAAAATTGATTATAAATGAGTCACAAATTTTTGTTGTAACCAAAAGAAAATCTGGGTTAGAGCCAGCCCCAGTGGCCTAGCGGTTAAATTTGGGCACACTCTGCTTTGGTGGCCTGGGTTCGGTTCCTGGGCACAGAACCACACCACTTGCCTGTCAGTGACCAAGCTGTGGTGGCAGCACACATTTTTTTTTTTTTTAAAGGAAGATTAGTAAAAGATATTAGCTCAGAGTGAATCTTCCTTAGCAAAAAATCCCAAACATTAAAAAAAATACCAAAAAAATCTGGGTTAGTGTTAAAGAAACAGATATTCTCTTAATTTTTACTAATATCTGCCTTGGTTATAAAGCAAGATCAGATTATCACTGAATTCAAATATACTATACAGCTACAGTAATCAAAACAGCATGATACTGGTACAGAAACAGACATACAGATCAATGGAACAGAACTGAAAGCCCAGAAATAAACTCACACATCTACAGACAGCTAATCTTCAACAAAGGAGCCAAGAACATACAATGGAGAAAGAAGTCTCTTCAATAAATGGTGTCGGGAAAATTGAATAGCCACATACAAAAGAATGAAAGCAGACCATTATCTTTCTCCATACACAAAAATTAACTCAAAATGGATTAAAGTCTTGAATGTAAGACCTGAAACCGTAAAACTCTTGGAAGAAAATACAGGCAGTACACTCTTTGATATCAGTCTCAGCAGCATCTTTTTGAATACCATGTCTAATCAGATAAGGGAAACAAAAGAAAAATAAACAAATGGGACTACATCAGACTAAAGAGCTTCCGCAAGGAAACGAAAACCAGGAACAAAACAAAAAGACAACCCACCAACTGGGAGAAAATATTTGCAAATCATACATCTGACAAGGGGTTAATTTCCAAAATATATAAAGAACTCATACAACTCAACAACAAAAAAACAAACAACCTCATTTCAAAAAATGGGCAGAGGATATGAATGGACATTTTTCTAAAGAAGGTATACAGATGGCCAACAGGCACATGAAAAGATGTTCAACATCACTAATCATCAGGGACATGCAAATCAAAACTACACTAAGATACCACCTCACACCCATCAGAATGGCTATAATTAACGAGATGAGAAACAGTAAGTGTTGGAGAGGACGTGGAGAAAAGGGAACCCTCCTACACTGCTGGTGGGAACACAAACTGCTGCAGCCACTATGGAAAACAGTATGGAGATTTCTCACAAAGTTAAAAATAGAAATACTATATGATCCAGCTTATCCCACTACTGGGTATTTATCCAAAGAATGTGAAATCAACAATACAAAGAGATCTATGTACCCCTAGGTTGACTGCAGCATTATTCACAGTAGCCACAACATGGAAGCAACTCAAGTGGCCATCAACTGATGGATGGATGAAAAAGGTGTGGTATATATACACAAGGGAATACTACTTGGCCATAAAAAAGGACAAAATTGCCCCATGTACGACATCAATGGACTTTGAGGCTATTAGTTAAGCATGATAAGCCAGACAGAGAAAGACAAACACCGCATGATTTCACTCATATGTGGAAGATACACAAACACAGGGATAAGGAGAAGAGATTAGTGGTTCCCAGAGGGGAAGAGGGTGGAGGAGTACCTAGGGGAAAGGGGAAGTGGGTGAAAGGACTAAAGGGGCTCATGTACTGTGATGGATAAAAATTAGACTTGGTGGTGAGCAGCATGCAGTCTATACAGAAACTGATATCCAATAACATACACCTGAAATCACACAATGTTATAAGCCAATATGACCTCAATAAAATTAAAAAAAAAAATTAGAAAGGAAAAAAAGCCATGAGGTTGTTTCAGCTGGTTTTTCTACTGGCTGCTCAGTATTTAGTAGGGGTCCAAAGTGAATGGCTGTTAATCTGCTGTTCTGAATACTCCCAGTTTTGACAAGGGCCTACCGAACAGCGAGCCTCAGAATAATCCTAGTCATGCCACCAACTGTCCTTCTGCTAAGACAACTGCCTATAACTCCAACCTAAAGCTAACCTTGTACAAAGATGACTTCTGGTGGTAAGTGGGGGAAATGAAGGGTGCCAGCACGCTGACCACGCACTTCTACAACTGGTACCTGATGCCTCTGAAAATCCACTCAGCTTTTAGCTAAAGATAAAAATGGAAAGGAAACTGGCAAAGCACTAGACCTGCCATGATGACCCAACAAAAGGGTAGAACGGAACAAAATTAGGAAGAACTCTATTATAAACTCTGGGTACATAGCAGATAGGTCTTTTTAGCAGGGATATGGAAAATCGGACTGCCAGTGAGTATCATTATAAAGGAATGAATAGTAATTTAAGACTATCCATTCACAGTTAAAAATGTACCTGAAATTGACATATAAGATGCTAGAAGGAAGAAAAAGTTAATGAACCAGCTCCAATTTTAGCAATATTTTGAATCTTCATCACTCTTTGAAGAGTGACAGATTGTTGTGTTACTTGGAACAGAGTCTAAATTACAGTCACTTTATGTATGAGCCATCCAAACAACCATTGCTCCTTCCTAGCTTCCACTGGCCTGCTGCATACTGCTAAGTCCAGGCTAGCCTTAGAACCAAAATCTACTTTTAATACCACCCCAGTTATGTAACAGCTTTTGGGACAAAACCTAGGGGAAATTATCCATCTCCTAGAATCACTGCTTCCGTAAGAACGTGTTCGAAGTACTCTTGGTACCTTAACTAAAATACCCCTGGGGCTTACTGAAACACTGTTAACGGTGAATGTTTTATACAGTACTTGTTCCAGTATTGACATGTCGTACGGATTCTTGATTATGGTGTATATCTTGACACGATCCAAAATGTGTGTCAATATTGTACTTATACAAATGACACAGAGCTAAATACAATAAATATATTAGTTTGTCTCATTTAGGGTCCACTTTAAAAGACTTTTTCCCCCCACCATAACTAATTTCCTATCTCTGTAATTCTAATGTACTCCATCACCACACTCCAAAGGAGAAAGAACAAGGTGAACAGAAGGGAACAAATTAATTATGAAAACAATATAAATTTTTATATAATAAACTAAAGTAACTGGTTAAACAAAAGTGGCATAAGGTTCTAAATTCCCCAGTGAATGAAATTTTCCAGCTCTATGACACTCAGGGTAGGAAAGACTGTCTTCAAAGTGAATGGCATCCCTTGTCTGAAAGATGGCAACGTTAAGTGGTAAAGCGCTGGCATGCACACTCACTCTTTAATCCCTTTGGCTCTTTTCGGCCTTTTTCTTCCTTGTCCAAATCATGCCTCTTCTGGTATTTTTCTTTGGGCTCATTTTTTTTTGTCTCTTTCTCCTGAAACAGACATACGTCAGAACCACAAGAACAGACAAAGAGCTGATACTGCCTATCCAAAAAGTGGAAAATGAGGGTCCCTGACCTCAGGGTGCCTTGTGCACTGTGGCACATGACCACTGATTGTTACACCTTTCTCACATCAACTGCCTCCTCAATCAAAACTACCCCTCAGCCATGAGAACCTACCAAATATCAAAACCAAAACCTGACACCAGTGTCCTCACTCTCTTTTAAGAACTTTTTTATATTAAAAATAAAGAAAATTCCAACAAACATTCACCTACAGCCATAACAAAAACATGACTATTTTTATTCCTCCAAACATTTTCCCTTCTTATCATTGTAATTTTGGATAATTTTGCTGTTTAAAATTCACTTTTCTCTATTTACAGCGCATAGATATTTTTACATGACTGTATTCATATGTGTGGTTTTCTTCATCGTAACACTCTGTAAACTTTTCTATTTTTGCTACACCGACCTCATAATTAACAATTAAATGGATATGTAATTGTCCCCAAGTTGATATATTTTTTTAACCATTTCCCTCATGACTAGTCAGACTGGTATTAGTTTTAGCGAAGATAACACTGCCATAAATATCTTTGTATACATAGTTTTTTGCCCTTTAAAATGATTTCCTTAAGATAAATCCACAAACTAGGAATAATGGATGGAAGAAAATTATCTTTTTTATAGCCCTTGATAAATATTGCATATATGAAAACTTTCGTAATGTGGAAAATATTTCCATTTTGAAAAACCACATAAAAATATTTTTATAATAATAGTATAAACTCTATTAAATACATTTTTGTAAGGATTAGAAGATTTTTAATGTTAATGCACTCTATGTACCAGTAAGTAAAAAGTGGTACATTCCTAAGACAACAGAGTGAAAATATCAAGTAGGATGTGAGAAGCTAATAAAATCAGCTGAGGAAGCTACAAGCTTTTACTACAAGGCTACACACCATCTGAGTACCTCTTTAAAAAAGACCTTGACTTTTGTCCACAAATTAGCCCTCAATTTTCTTCTTGTACTTAGTCTAAAAGACAGCAAGTCTGAAGACTGAGAGATCAGCTGAGGAGGTCCAAAAGCTGGCTGATCTCCAGCATGTGTAACTGCCTAGTACGACTCACACTATTAAGTAACTCCCTAACGACAGCAAGACTCTTCCTGCAGCCTGTTGCTTCGCGTCATTATTTGTGAAACTTGTTGATCACTCAGAAGAGTGCTGGCTTGGTTTGAATGTCTCTTGGTTTGAATATCTTGAAGGTTTTACTGTCATCCTTCAGTCTAATCCTCCACCTGCCCCCTACCCCCAGCCCCCATACTCACTTCCCCAGCTGAGTCAGAGGACCTGAGGCTCCTTTCTTCCCCACCCAACCGTGAACTCTTCTGTGTTTGGGCAGAAGCAGGGGTCAGCTTATCTAACTCTGTAGTACTTTTGCCTTTGTCTTGATTCTTTTGTTTTCTATGTATATTTTTCTTCTCTAGGAAAAGGTTCTTGTTTTCTAGCTTTTTGCTCTCTTTAAGTTCCTCAGTCTTTCTCGGTTTCTTTTTTTTCCTCTTTGCTTTGCCATCAGTATCCTCATCAGCACTTACGGGGCCATCCAGCTCCTTATCAAAAACAGTATCTTGAATTACATCTTGCCCTGCTTTCTCTTTTGCACTTTTAATCTTTAGTTTCTCCTCTCTGTTGTCAGAATGTGAATCCTCATTGTCATCTTCTTGAAAAGGGGAATCGTTAAGTACATTTGATTCAGTTTCCAACTGAGATTCAACAAATTTCTCTTTTTTTGTTTTTCTGTTTTCTTTGGAATCTTCTCTTATTTTAGTCTTTAAATCTCTTATTTCACCCTTTTTAACTTTCTTTGACTCCTTAGTTTCTTTCATATCATCTTTTTTGGGCTTTTTGGATTCCTTTAATTCTTCTTTGGCTTCTAAAATTCTTTTCTTTGTCCTTAAATCAAAAACTAAACTTTCAGAGGAGCTCTCTAGGTCTGGTTTGGGTTTATCTTTCAGTTTCCCAGTCTTTGCTTTTTTCTTTTTCAGATCATCTGGGCTTTTCTCTTCCCTGTGCCTTAATTTTTTCTTTTTCTTCTTTGGAGAAGTATCTTCTTTTGTCTCACTTTGCTGATCGCTATCAGAGTTTGCCTCAAATATGTCATTATTTAAGGACAGTCTCTATAAAATATAAAAAAGATATAAATACTCATTAAGGTATTAATTTAAAAGGTCTTGAAAAGGAGTACTAATGAAATCTGGTAGAAATTTTTCTTTTCCTAGCAGTTTCTCAACTCCTTATAAAATTACTTACCTACATTGACATTGTATAACACAAGTTATATCTCTGATTTAGCACAAAGCTGGTAGCAATGCTATGTACTTAAGAAAGTACATAAGCACAGAGAGAGAAAATGTTAGCACTGCTGAAGGTCTCAAACTCAAGCAGAAGTGAACAATAACAGTCTTAGGTATGGGGGGTTGTACATAATTTAAACTTCAAAACTTCCAAAAACACCAAGGAAGTAATTTGTACAGGCTTTCTTCGTTGCCAAAAAAGTTGTTACCAATCCAAACCCAAAGGTATTTAAGACTTTGGATCCCAGAATGTCCTTAAGCCTGTCATTACCTTCCACAGTTATATATGGAACAAGCAGGACCGCACACAAATCTTACGTCCCCGACTGATTTGATTTGTGTTATACAATCTGAAATACCTTCCGTGGAAAAAATGTTCTCCTATTCTTAAAAAAAACAGAAAAGCCCAAAAAACCTTTAGAATAAAGTACTTGTATAGACACAAACACACTGTGAACAGTATTTTCAGTTCCCAATTCCCCAAATTCTATTCTCCTAAATGACGGGGCAGGGGAGGGTGGAAAGAAGGGAGGGAAAAGATAGGTGTGGTTTCAAGTTTTCCCTATAGTGCCCAAGAAATGAATGCCACCAAGGTTACTAAGATAGTGAGAACACAGAGGCATTGCATAACTTTTGAATCTCCCTGAATCGCTTTATAAAGACAAACCAACTAGGACAGCAAAACAAACCCCCCACAGACAACGTTAAACAAAATTAACATCTACTTAACAAAATTAAGTGGCAAAGTATCCCAATGAACCTCAAAATATAAGTGGGGGGGACACACTACTCACAGCTATAACACCTGTATGGTATGAGTATCTATTCAAGAGGAAGCAAAGGCAGCAATGAAAATGGAAGGAACCACTAAAAGTCTGCAGGCCCATCTGAGAGGAGCAGCTGAAGGGGGACGAGAGGCACCTGCATGTGGCGACTACAGGTATGTGGGGGCCTGGCAGGGCCAAGCCCTGTGAACTTTCCAAGTACCCAGCAATGCTCCCTTCCAGGACATCTATGACAAAGCCCCACAATGAGTAACTGCTGAGATCAGATTCCAAATAAAGTAGGACAGGAAAAATAGAAATAAACAAAAAGAAAATTCTGACATAAGTGGTGGTGAGGGCAGGGTGAAACCACACCCAGGAATAAAGATCTCATCAAGCTTAAGGGATTTTTTTTTTGAGGAAGATTAGACCTGAGCTAACATCTGCCGCCAATCCTCCTCTTTTTGCTGAGGAACAATGGCCCTGAGCTAACATCCCTGTCCATCTTCCTCCACTTTATATGTGCGATGCCTGCCACGGTGTGACTTGACAAGCAGTGCATAGGTCTGCAGCCAGGATCTGAACTGGCAAACCCTGGGCCACCGAAGTGGAATGTGAGAACTTAACTGCTGTGCCACCAGGCCGGTTAAGGCCATATTTTTTAACCCTTCATAAAACTAATAAAAGGAAGGTGCTCAGGAATCATAAAGCTATTCCCCTCCTCTGCCTCCTAAAATTTCGGGAGAAGTAATTTCATATAAATATGAGCAGCAGAAAATGATTAGGACAGAATGTTTTACTAAGCTGTTAAGAAAAAACAGACTAAGCAAGAGTAGCTATCCTAAAAACAATAAAAGCCTGCCAGAAAGACATGCCTCTGAAACACGTGAAACTAAATAAACAAAACTTTGAGGCATCAGGCAAAAAGACTAAGCCACTTATAAGAGAAAGGAACTTAGATTCGTCATTAAAGGGCAATATTTTATGCCAGATGACAATGGAAAAACACGTTAAGATACTCAAGAAAATATGAGCCAAGAAATTTATATCCAGTCAAACTGGCTGTCAAGGACAAAGGCTGTCAACAAACTGTAATGAAACACAGGAACCCTGGGCACACCGTTCTCAGGAGCCCCTCCTACAGAGGTGGTTCTAAAGCCTCAGCGTGCATCAGAATGCTGGAGGGCTTGCCAAACCCAGGGGGCTGGAACCCACGCAACTGTGCACCCCAGAGGCTGCATTTCCAATGCCTTCCCAGATGAGGACGACTGGTGCTCCTGGCCTACAGTCCACACTTTGTGAACTACTGTGCTAAAGAATGAGCTTCAGATAACCAAAAATGACTGTATAGACCTCAAAATAAGGATAGGTGGAAAGCATTAGCTTCTAGAATTAAGGCTGAATGATGGTTATAAGAGAGTACAGGATGTAATGACTAAACGCTCTGACTCTTACCAAAACAATGAGGAAATACCAAAGCATAATGTTCTTGCTGATTGCCTTGTAGTTATAAACTGAGAGTAAAAGGACAGCACTTCAAATTAGATTTGGAGGGAAAGGGAAGGCAAGGAGAAAACAGGTGCTACTTAACAATCAAACAAATGAACTTGGTTATCAAACTAACATAATCACAGAGTAGAAAAAAAAGAATTAATCCCCCCAAATAACTTCTGAACACTGAACACCCTCAGTGAATATACTCTAAGGAGAAAAAGAACTGCAAAAAGTTTAGAATTTTACGGTATAATGGGTGTAGCAAATCTGAAACTAATTTCCAATTACTGTAGGATTGAGTAAATGAGGACACAGAAAGTTGACACGAATCAGAGTTCTCATGGTAGAAAGAGGAAGACAGAAGGAAGGCCATTGGGAATGAGAGGAGGGCCCCGTGAGGATGGACTGAAATTACAGACATCAAGATGAATCTATGATTTAAAACAGAGATACTTAGTTTTTCCTTCAGCTCTGTCTACTTAAAGGGCCTAGAAATGATGACGTCCCAGAAGCAGTAAGTACGTCTTGGTTTCTAAATCCTATTCCCCTCTAAAAAGAAATGGTTGATACCAGGGTTGGAGCAGCCAAGTCCCTGGTAATGCTGGAGTATCTTGTGTTAAAAAGCAAAAATGTGCTCAAAACACAAGGGGAAATATCAAAAGGACACAGGCGCTGGCCTAGAGGGGCTCCCACTAGCCAAATTCCAAACCGTTTTAGTGTTAACATGAATATAACAGTAAAGATTAACATGCTGAATAAAAAGATTCCATGAGTGTGTACTGATACTAAAAAAATTTAAGGGAGGGAGGAGCTGCTCTTTATAGGATACAAACTGAAAAATACAGAGTAACAGAATTAGAAAAAACCCTATTTTGTAACCACCACAGTAATAACTAATTGAGGCAAGAATCCTCAAGGTATTTTAAAATGATGGGGTGAGAAGTTGTTGGGGAACGCGACTCTCACAGTCTTGAGGATTACTTATTATTAGAGTATTTATTCTTCATGTTACTTATTTTAAAAGAGAAAAACATACCTTTAAAAAGGGAGAAAAAATAATGGCCCTCACTTTATCATACAATTTAACCTCTCCAATCAATGAGACCACTGACACATCCTCCATCTCTTGATGTAACGTGCAGCATCTATGGAACACATCTGCTAGAATGTTTTACATTGGATCTAATCACGAGGAAGCAAATCATCTAATTCCAATGAAAAAATACTGTTTATTTGTGTTTAACATTAATTAGAATCCATCTAATTCCAATGTTAACAACTTTCTATAAAACAACTGGTCTGGACTCTTAAAAAAAGCAGGGGGCAAAAGGTCATGGAACTGTCTAGAAGAAAGGAAACTAGAAAGATGCGAATGGAACTAAACACACCACATGACAGAAAGTAGTACTGGACGTTGCAGGACAAACAGGGAAATCTCAACGAAGGCAGCTGTATATGAGATTGCCACACTGCTGATATAAGACTATTGGTGTGTCACAGTGATAAACTTAAATTCTCCAGAGTACGATAATGCAGGAGAGTATTGTTGTTATAAAATACACGTTGAGGAATTCAGCTTGCTCTCCAGTGCTTCAGACAGCGTCTCCTGGCCCTACAGCCACCCTTTGCTTTAAGCACTATCTGTAAGAGTACTTAACGATTTCTCCTTTCTCAATCTGCCCTTAAAGAGTTTGTAAGTGACTTCCCCCCTCTTGAAAATCATTTTGCTAAAAACTGGTATTGACCTCCTCATTCCCAAATCGAATAGCCTGTTTTTATTTAAACTTTCCATAAAAGTAAAGGGAAAAGAAGGTGGAAAAGGAGGAAGAATAAATTTAATCTTGCTACATGTATAATTAATTTTACTTCAAAAAAATTTTTAAACAAGAATTACAAAACTCTAAACTATTTTTTCAAAATACTTACAGTCATCAGATTATTACTTGGAACTAATAAGAAACACTATCCTGCACGCCCCACCAATTCCCCAATCTACATTTCCAGCCCAAATCTTGCTCTTCAACTCAAACCAATATTTCCAATTGGAGAGACTGGACATCCTTATTTGGACGACAAAAAAGTAACTAAAATCTAACGTGTTCAAAACTGGACCTGTTGCCTAAATAACAGCATCATTTATCTAGGTTCCCAAAGTGGTAATCTTACTCATCTTTGACTTCACGTTTTCCGCTATGTCAGATCAGTCACTAAATCCTCGGAACATGAACTCAATTCTCCAGCCTACAGTATCCTAATTCAGTTCTTTGCCTCTCTCAGCCAGCAGTCTCCCCATTTCAGTATCATGACCAGTGTTTTCGGAATGATCTTCCTGCTAATAAAGACAGGAGGGATGACAGAATTAGAAACTCACTATTTTCCAACCTCTAATGAAGAATGGTTCTAGGCCATGATCATCAGCAGCTCCTAAAACATACACATGAAATGTTAGGAGCTTTCTAATGATGGATCACACTGAAAATACCTAATCTCAACGATCGCTTTTAAGCTCATTGTAAGGGAGTCAGGGAGACATTATGTGCTTTCTGGTATGCTGCAAGAGGAGGT